AACTAAGAATATATTGCCAGTCAGGCAATAAGAACAAGTTGTAGAATGGCTTGTGTTCCTCTACAGATCAACTCAAAGATAAGGAGACCAAAATACATGTATGCATAATAGATGTGCATGGTACATGTGTAAGACCAGACGCATACTAATCTTTACAGACAAGCATAAGTATGCATCTAAGAATTGATGAATTTGCGCAATGAGTATGTATGAGCTAGACATATTGTTTTCTCAATTGTGAAATGATCATTGTTCAAATCAATGGGCATTGTATTTCCAGCAAAAACTGGTGATTAAGCTGTACTGAATGTCTGTCAATACGAGTGTCTTTTTTATGTGTGTTTGTTTGTTCACAGCGATTAACTTTACACAGCTTTTACGTACCAGTAAATTTTTAGCAAGGTTCGCTTGACAACAAACGACGCAAGTCTGTTGAGCGCATCATACTTAAACGAAATTAAAACGTTTTCTTCCACAGAGTACAACTACCACCATGCAAAGGTAAGTAATATCAACTCACACTGTTCCTCTTTTTTCCGATAGTACTCTATATTTATCACAAGTTGTCCATCATCAAACACATCGAACTGAAGCTCAAAGGAGTTGAAAATTTCAATCTTACGGCCATCTTGGGTCCCTAGCAGTGCTCCTATCACTGGAAAAGATGAGGTGATAATCATTAAAAAGGTCTGAATACAGGCTTACAATATTTCAAAATTTCAATAAAAATAGCTAGTTATACACTGCAACAGGTTTACATTAAACGAAAGATAACAGGTATGCTGTCGAAAACGAAAGACTGTTACAAACCAAGACGGTTTGCGGGAAAATATTCCAAGCAGCAAACAAAACAAATCACCTTGTGGGTTGGGTTCTCCGTATTGCGCCTTTATTCTGGTGTAGTGTTCAGATATATTCATAATTACTAAGGGATGAAGAGCCACTGATACGCTTCCACTCGAACCAGAACTCGCCAAAACAGTCTCTGATTCCTTCGAAGTAGTAGTTTGAACTTCCATTGACGACGCCATCTTGGATATACTTGAACAGCTTAGTAGCCACTCTGAAGTTTTTGTGATCTTTCCGACTCAATCCCTGCTCGGCCAATCTTAGGCGAAGAGCCTGTCTCCTCTCGTTTTCTCTTTTTCGAATACTCGTCACCTCTTGATTTCAAGAAACCTAAGTTGCGTGAACATCTCAGTCATGGTTCGAAAATAATTTTCGATAAAATTGCGAGGATTCAAAACGCGTCTCAAAGCTACGCTCTGTCTCAGTTCGATCTAAGAAAATCAAGTAAATGTAGAGTTTCCGTGGAGGTTTTCCCGGGATAATTATTATACATGCCACATAATATTTATTATTTCAGCTATGAGGCAAGCTGTCAGCAACTAAAATGCTGGCATGACTTGTTTTTAAGACAGCCGCGTGCCCATCATGGCACTGAAAATGAACGGAGTAGAGATTAGTTTCCTGAAGAGCTGCTGTGCTGCATCGCCAAAAAGTTATTTGATGGTTGATATTGACTGAAAGTTAATAAAGCAGATAAAAGCCGTTCTGGAATTGGAAAAGCTGATGTTTTGAGCATCAGCCTTCGCTTAAATGAAGACGGTGACACTACACATTTCGCTTTAACGAGGAACTGTCGCTCAAGGCTTCAGCTTTCCTGAACGATCTCTACGGTGGCCAATTTACATAATTAATTCAGTTGATACAACAAAATTATCTTGAAATACCCCAACCGACACAGCGCCACATTTTCTTTAAAAACTTACACCTGGACAGAACCTGTAATTGTTTACAGATGTAAACTATAAATTCATTCCTTACAGCATGATTGCTCATAAAAAATATACTTTGATAAATAGGAAATAACAGGCAGATCATCTGATGAGATTAGATTAGCAAAAGATCTTTTCAGTAATCTTGACAGAGGTACATTTTTAAAAATGATTCCGAATATAGGCTATAGACAATCTGACTGGAAATAAATCAGTTTCAAATATAGATTTGTATTCATTTTATAAATTCTGTAAAAAGATTGGTTCTATAAATATCACTTTTACAGTTATAACTCTGCTTGGATTAAAAAATAACCTTAAAATAAACTCCTTAACATCATTGTTAAAGATGGCTTTTAAACTACTTCAGGATTCTATTAATTGTCTCCTGGCAACGTTTTAAGGTTGGTACTTAACAACGGGTTTTTTGTGATCTTTTAAACGTGCGAAGGTAATTCAAAATAGGGTGCAGACGCTCGCATTACGCATATACTCAAGCTGACTCCTGCGAACATACAGCAAGATTTCGAAAATGTAAATTACAAAATATTAAATTCTCTGTCAAACTAGTTTTTTTTTACCAAAATCGTACGCGGTTTGCAATGTTCAAGCTGCCCTGTCGATTTTTACCAAGAATTTCTATCCCTTTGTCCCAAATTTAATACAGGTTTTTCAGGATTTGTATATCTTCCTTGTTAGACTTAATGTCTCGCAGTCTTTAATCACAAAACTTAGTTATTCTGCCACCAAAAGTACTTTACGAAACCATGGCCATAATTATGACAAGAATCTGTAAAAAGAACACGAACAAAATCGTGAAGGGATACAAAATTGCTTATTTTGTTGGTAGACGTGAAAAATATAAGCCCCATTAATCATAACCATTACAATTTCCTCAAACTCGATTGGTGCATTAGCTGCTTAATTTTTCACCAATCATTCTGTGAAGCTGTAATCGGACAGTTGAAGTAGCCAATCTCACTAAGTCCACTCAGCCAAATTCACTAATCACAGAATTAATCACAATAACCAGAGCAACAAGCACTTATCCTAAAAAAAAATTGAGGAATTTCCAAAATGGAGGAATTCTTTTACTTTAGACATTTTCTGTACCAGAGATATTTGACCTAAATGTATTTGTTGTTTTCGGAAATTGTAACGGTTTTGATTAATTGGTAACAGGACTTCTTGTTGTTCAATTCTGTCAGTAATCATACTCATGATTGACAAATTGGACTCCCGCTTCGTGGTCGTCCAATTTTGTTAATCGAATGATTATAACGGAGCTCGCATAGCCCCATAATTATACAAAATAGTAGTAACCTATCAAGCCGAAAAAATTTGGATGTACGACCGTACGACCGTACAGGTGCTACTTTTAACATACGTGATCAATTGTACCGCGGGCAAGCCAACGCCACGGCTTTGTCCAATAGTCGTCCAGTGGTTAGTGCACTGGGCTCCGAGTCGGACGACCCAGGTTCTAGTCCTGGCCGGGGCAAGGCGTTGTGCCCTTGAGACGTGCGAAAAAAAAATGCGAGCTCCAAGTTTAGGCTTGGCTTAATCTATATGTTAGACCGAATTGGACTCCACTCGGTCTTATTACCATTATTAATCATCATACTGCTTTATTTTACTTTTGTTGAACGCCCCTTAGAGATGCAAATGTCCTTCTTCAAAACTTGCCATGATTTGTAAAATGTGTTTATGATTTTTTTTAAAATCGGAAGGTCCTTATAAGTTCGCGGGAAGAGTGATTCCAGTGTCAATAGAGAAAAACTGTATCTTCTATGGAAAGAGATGCTGATAACATTGCATTGTTGTCATCTCTGCCACTTTTCAGTTTCTAATTAATCGTGATTGTCGTACAAAATAAAATTTTCATGCAGTGCAAAAACCATGCTAAACGTAATCTTCAAAAGTTTCTCTTCTAAGTGCAACTCAACGACAAAATCGTAAAGGAAAAGCACAAAATAAAAATAAAGCAAGCTGGAGGCTTTTTTGTTGTGTATCATTAGTCGTTTGTACGCCAGTTCGTACGGTCGATCATTGCAATATTAATGGTAATTTTCGATGCGGTGCATTTTTTTTTTCATCCATTGTGTTCGGAAAAAATGATAAAAACATCTTACAGTTGTGGGTGAGATTCTTTTTTTGTTTACAATATTTTTATATTTATTCATGGTATGCTATCTACTGAAGAGACTTTTTTTTCCCATTTTTGGTAAATAATTCACCAATGAACATCCTAACTACGAAACTGAAAAATTACCAAATGCGTTGGCGTGATTTTGAGATTGTCTTAGTCAGAGATTTTCATTTAATGGAAAGCAATCAGTGAAGTAATCGACAAGACCAAAAAATAATCTCCGTAAGTAGTATTTTGATTGATTTAACTCCTTATTTCTTTTGTGACCCGCCATCTCGATCTTAAAAATACAACTCAGCCCTTCGGACGCACAACTGCTCTTTGAAGGCCAACTAAAGATCGCCGAAAAATTACAAAAAAGATTGCTGAAATATTTGAATTTCGCCCAGGGGAAAACTGGTTCGTTTTAGTTTTGTTGCTTGTATGATCATCAGAGCGGCTGAATTTTCTGCAATTGAAATTTTTTCTTTATCGGAAACAAACAGAGCTTTCATGTTACAACTACCTAGCTTGGATGGCTGTTGTAAGATTTGACAACCTATCTGAGCACGTGTATCTCTGGAAGCACCTGACTGTGCAAAGTTTGGCAAATGTCATCAACTTTTAATTGATCCCAATTTTTATGGATGTGAAAATCATTGCTGTTTGTCACCAGGTACGGTTTTGGCAAAATATTTTTCATTTGAAGGTTTAAGCTTAGTGCATTTAATTAATGATAACAAAGCGAATGGTGCATGCCCTGACCCTTTTAGAACATGACACTTGCGTAACAACTTGAACGAATTTCTGAAATCCATCTAGATGGCCTCTCGGCCATTTTTTTGGCCTTGCATCTACAGCTTTCCTTAGATAATTGAGATATGCTACCAAGTTTGGTCTTTTTTTTTTTTTGCAACATCATGCAACATCATGCAACGTCATAAAAGCGTTTGTGATCACCTTTTGCGAAATACTACGTTAACGTGAACGTACAGTTTCAACGTCAACTGTTTCGACGCGTGGTTTCTATTTTTATCTAAAAAATGAAATAAAAAGTGGCAGAACAGGATCATTTTCAGAACAGGATCATTGTCAACAGAAACAACACGAATCTACGAAATCGTTTGTGAGGAAAAAAAAAGGGTTACAGTTTTGTGAAATTATGGCCGATAACCTCTGTGGGTCAACTTCAAAGGAATGTGCAACTTGTCATAAGAAAGATTTACTGGTAAGAAAGACTATGGCATTTTCTCCAGTTATATTCGATACAACCGGTATTGGGTAAATTTCGTTATAAAACTAACCTAAATTGTATGATGAATTAGATGTCAAAGCAACAGATGATTTTGCTAAAATTGGTACGTAAACTCTTGTTCAAACTCACAGTATAAGGATTAAGTTGATCTCTTTCCGGGATGACTAAAATAGTTTGTCTCCCACGCAAAATTATCCACAGGAACTTTTCAACTTGATGATACTTTTATTTTTGATCTTATCACAATTTTACATAGTTTTCCTTGGCCTGGTCTTTACAAAGCCTTTTGCTTTTCTTCAGTCAAGCGAGGAACGAACGTTCGATAAAATTTCCCCTTACGTAGCTATGATTTCGCTCACGTGTTTGACGATGAACTACAAGAGGATGAAAGACCTTTTTGAACAGGCTATAACTGGGAAGAATAAATCATTATGTTAATGATGCAATTTTTATAAAGTGAAATTTATGGTGATCTTTCGGTGCTTACCCGATGGCTTATTGCGCCATGAACACAAACTATTAATAGAGTCGATTCGTTGTCTATTTTGCTTTCTACTTTTCAATCGTGATTCACGAGGTGGCTTCTTCTTTGATGTCTCAGATAATCTCCTGTGAGGCGCAGCAACACACTTTCTGTTTGTCTTGCCTCACAACATTCGTTGAGTCACGCACATCCACAGGAAAACCGCCAACTGGGTTGGCAATGCGCCTTGGCTGTCCTTTGGGGTATAAATGTGGATCACAACTTGAACCTTACCTACTGCAGGATATCATTGACGAAATTGCTGCGACATCAAAGGAGAAAACCTCAAGAGGTCCTTCCTGCGATGGACAGACTTCTTCCAGGTCTTGTCCGAATGATCGATGCTCCTTTAATTTTCGGCCCGATGACGGCGATTTTGAAACTCTTTATCCGTGGTGCCCAGAATGCTGTGCATTTTATTGCTGTACTTGTCAAAGACGACTTGGAGATGAAGGATACGCCGACCATATTTGTCCAGCCGGTCAGATCACTGACATAACTAATGATGCCGTAGCAAGCCAAACATTGTGCAGAGTAGTTTGCGAGGCTATGTTTGTACGATGTCCCAGCAACTCTTGCCAGTCGACTGACCGAGCGGAAGACCTGATAGTGAAGAGGAATGAGGATTGTAACGCTATAAAATGTTGGACATGTCAAAGATTCTTCTGCTTCATTTGCACGAAAGACCTGGGGATGAACAGAGAAGATGCACTTAAGGCATTTCCACACAGGTAAGAAATGTTCCGGCCGCATACATTATAACCTTTTGAAAGTAATCCGCGATTGCAATGGTTTTGATTCAGTAGGGCGGGTCACTCTTATTCTACTGATCTGAGATCTCAATCGGGTTAGTTTAATATTTACCCCGTATCTATCTAATTATAATTTAAATTAAGTTCCTTTAACTAGCTGTTTTAATTTTATCTGTTTGATTGGGAGAGAGCATGGGAGGAAAAATAGCTTAGCCCCACCTGCTTATCTTAAAATGAATGATAAAATTAGTCGCAGTTGTTATCACTATCAATACCCCCCAGTAAAGTATGAAACCGATTTAAAAAAACAAGTGTGCTGAAACTTTTCGCAATTTCCGGGAAAATACTGGATTCCCCTTGGAACTCTTTTAAAAAAGTTGGTTTCATTGATCTATATCTTTATCTATTTCTATTTACACAGGAATGCTAGCGAAGCTAACGCTCCTTGCTGTTGGCTCTTTGACGATGGATTGAGCGGAAATACTAAAACAAGAGCGTTACTGATACGGCAGATGAATGCAGCAGCCGATTATCTTCGTTCTCTCCAAGTGAGCAACGAAAAGAAATTGATTTTGCTGAATAGTAATAGGGAAGTACTGGGGGAGGTATTCACGCATTTGATCAAGAAATATGGACCCAAAAGAGACCAAGAGAAGTGTGTCATATTGTAGAGTTTTTAAAAAGTGTGTTATACGCGCACTAAGATTTTGAAGCGCTTACTTGAGAACAGAGCTAGTGATAAATGTATTATAATGCAAAAAAGGACTGCTCTTTAAGTAATGTAATTACATATTATACGTACTTCTTAATCTGTTCTAGAAAGGTTGATTGAAAAGTCACATTTACCTTTTTATTTCAATATTTGAACGGAATCATAATTCTACATTATAATAAGAAAGCTTTCATCTGGACAGGGCCCCTTCAAAAGGCCATTTGAAAGATGCCCAAGCTCTTATTATTGTAAGGCCTTGGATTCGAAATTTATTAGTTTTTCGTGACATATAAAGCTCATTTTTCAAGAAAGGTTTAGCTGTTAGCCTAATTTTAAAATTAACGCTTTCGGAACTCGGAAATGGCCTAGTGGACGGTGACTCAAAAAATAAATAATTCTGACAGTGCTTGATTTTTCAGAATACATATTTCGAAAAAATACAAAATCCTACTTGTAAATCTCGGTATAAATCCAGCTACATTTTCCTTGTATATAAAATCATTGAGAATTTTAATCACAGTTATATGTGAATAACCCAGATTATTGTTATGAACCGTGACTTCGTGTAGATCGCGATGAATGTCACACTTAATGATTTCTTTTCCAGAGGAAATATATTTACTATTTGAATCGGTTCAGAAATGAGGAAGGTTGTAATTTCCAAGCATTATGAATCAATAAATAAAATTTGAATTAAACTTTACAACGAAGTATCAGCGTTCGAGAACTGAAATTTGAAGGCAGAAACCATTGTTGTGTAGCCTAAAAATATAATTGAGCATGCAATATTTTCATTTTGTTTCTATCAGTTTCTTTTTTTGAACATCTGATATTAGAAAATAACGTTTCTGAGAAAGGTGAAAGACGAATTAAAATCCGACAAATAAAATCCGCATCATAACTGAGGAAGTCAGACTTTCAACATCAAAGAGTGAAAAAAAGAGAGCGCCAAACTATTATAGTAAGCCCCATCACGAACAAAATCGGAAATTTCACAAACAGCTTCTTTTAATTAAAGGGTTCCTGCTTAACTCCAGTAAGTACTTGTTTGATGGAAAGAGATCGGAAAGGTATACATTTCGGTACGGTGTAAGACGCTGTTTTTGTGAGAATAATAATTTAAAGTAATGTACAGTGTTTGGTCTTTTGCCACGAACAAACTTTTCTGGAGGTTTGAAAAGTGAAATCCAGACCGGAAACCTTTTATGATTTCGCATATTAACGAAATTTTTGCCCTTACCGTATCCATTCAACCCATCAAATAACGAAAAACTTTAGGAAGTTTGAAGGGTTCATTCAATGTCCATGCACCCCTTAACATCATCGAAACACACTGTAGATAATTTCTGTAATCAAAGCTTAAAAAGAGAATTTGTCTCTCTGAAGTTGTATACAATCACACAAGTCAGTAAGTCACGGTGTTTGGAAACCGTATAACTCAATTAATACAGCGCAAACACACAAACAGAAAGGAAAATATATTAAATAAAATGATCTTTGTTTTATTTAAAGATTTTTTTCAATTTTTTTCCTCGTACATTTTGCGCTTCAGCGGTTGCAAATATACTTTTGTTATTTCTTGAAATTTTGCGTGAGAAATCAGTGCACTGCCGGCCAAAATTGATCCACTTGTACATGCCAGAAATTTTACCGCTGGGTTCAGTCAGTGCACCTTCTATGTGGTGATTGCGGCGTTAATTATGTAATTGACATCGTCGTATGAGCTCTTTGTAATCTGCTGAACGCTTGAAAACTTACAAGAAAAACGTTTCTCGGTCCCAGACCTCGGCGTCTGCATTTGGTTCCATTTCCTCTCCCTTTTTTGTCGAAGTGTCTCATTTAAAGAAAGTTTTCTACTTGAACTTTGCAAACAAAATGAACACTCCAACAACATAACTACTATGAAAGAATTAATCTCTTCATACATATGCATACAATATTGTGAGGTTTTATTTCCATTATAGTATTGACTACAAGCATCAAGTCACCGATTTCACAAATATATACGATCTTCACAAATATATACGATCTTCACATATATATAAGTTTTTGCTGTAATTTTAGAGCTATAATTTCTAAACGAGTCATTTAATATAACATTTTCTATGAAATAAGTTCTCTGTTGTGCTAAAGAGACAAATGAGAGATCTATGAAGCAATTTATACGCAAATGATCTTGTTTACGAAACAATAAGAAATAAGCCTTCAGATTGCAGGTGTTTATATGATTCATGAGTGCTTTTCTAAAGTACCAGGAGATTTTCTATCAAAGTAAAATAACTGTGGTTTAAATCCAAATTATTTGTTATGGTTTTCATGTGAAAGCAAGCAGTCGTGAAATCAAAGCATGGAGGATTTCGAAATATCTGAAATTGATATTAAACAAAGACCATCTTCAGTACTTCCAAGATCGATCAAGGTCGGTCCGGAGGTGGCTACAACTCCGTTGCCGCAGGGAAAACAGTCCGCTGCAGTACAAGAAAAGTGGAACGGCTTCGTAGAATCGTCCACTCTGCATGGCTTGCAGCACGTGTTTGGCGGTCGAACTCTGGCCCGCAGAGTCATATGGGCCTTGTTTCTTCTCCTCGGTATCGGCTGGTTCTCGCTGCAGACACAAAAGTTGTTAACGAAGTACTTCAGCTATCCCGTGACGACAAAAGTAACCTTGGTTTACGAAGAAAACCCCGAGTTTCCAGCGGTCAGCATCTGCAACTTTAACATGTTTCGAAGATCTGTGGTCCAAGAAGCAGGCTACGAGGAGGTATGAAAGTTTACCACACAACTTGTAGCCTTTTTTTAATTTTTATTTTACGGTCGGGTCATAGTGTGTTATGTCCATGCTTGAGACGATATCTTTACGCCTTGAGTAGAAAAGGGTGGCAAAAAAACTGTCGAGGAAACTTGAGAGATTGCCTAAGTAGAGGGTTTCTCGTGATGGACAGCGCAGCACCCCTATCTAAGAGAAAGAGGAAAACTTCTTGTAGCTTGCTATCGAATCCAGGCGTGTGGAATAGCTAGGTCGCAATGTTTAGCCTCTTTACGGTCGAGGACTGAGCTCAACATCTACCGTCTACCGACATATCTTACTGTATTAATATGTATTCTTACTGTATTAATCTTTATTCTTGTATGGGACTTTTGACAAAGCTTATCCTTGCAGAATTCTGAGTGCAAACGCTTAAAAAATCTTTAAGTTCGCCTTCGCATTATCTGTAGGTGATTGCATAATAAAGCATCTAATGAAGAAATTGAATCCACAGATTTCTTTTACACGCTCACGATAATTTTTTCAACATGTTTCTTGATTAGATTCTGAATTATGTGCTAAGGAAATCGAGTGGAATTGACGTCTCTGGCGAAACCATCGACTGGGAATTGTACGAAAGTATGAACCTGACTGAATTTCATTTTGCCATGGGACATCAAATATACAACACCTTACATCAGTGCTATTGGGACGGAGGACTTTGCACATATGAGAATTTTACACCTGTTTTGACTTCCATGGGTCTTTGTTACACATTTAATTCAGGTAAGGTTGACAAAAATATCACAAAAAGTAAGAGGAATCATTCATCACATTTGTGCACGATGAAAATCATTTTGACGAAGGATCCAAAATCATATTTTTTAGAAGAGTAAAAATCGTTAAGATGCGAAAAGGAGTCTGAGATGGTCCGGGAAAAGGAATATTGAAGCTAGTTTGAAATAGTAGTCTTAGAGAATTTTGGTTTTTTCTAACGATCCAGAGACGTTGCCGGGCTGAGGAAAACATGAAAAAGAGACTTTGATTTAACGCATTTACTTTAAAATAACTTTCGTGATCTGGCTCGTTTCTTACCTGTAGCAAATTCCTCTTTCTTAATGGGAAGTTTTTTTGTAAGATAAGCTTTAATTGTAATGAGTTTGAAATAAAGGAAAGTTAATTAAACCAAAACATATAATTTTCAACATATGTGCATCTTGCTGATAAGTGAAAGGCAGCACAGCAGTTAGTAAAAAATCTAGAGTGAAAAATGTGCCTGGGCTCTGTTCCAACCCCAAATCTTCTTAAGCTAAAACGTAAAATGTTAATTCAAAGTTGAAACCCATCCTTTGGTTAACTAAATAAATAAGCACTTGTCAATTTTTTTCAAAGACTACAAATTACACTCGCCCTACGGGTTCATGCAATTCTGTTAGTCTTTGAAAAAATTTACTCGTGCTTATTTATTCCAAATTGTACTCGAAATCATATGTACAAAGTCTGACTCAGGAAGAAATGGAATTTTTGGCCATTGTGACTTAAAAGTTGCGGCTTCTCACGGTTACAGCACTTCGTTGATGAAAAGGAAAAAAACAATTTTCTTCTGAACAGGGGTTTTCAGTCAGAGTTAATCTTTGTTATTTTTTAATTATGTTTAGTTTCATTAGTTTCGCAGTTTTCTTTCAACATCAAATAAAGGAAACAAAAGCTCTCGTTCCCTGATAAACATTATTTATTTACCACTCACTCCTGCTGGGCTGTTTAATTTGCTCCGGTCATCTTTCACTTTTTTCAAAACAATGAAATTATAACTTTGGTTTTGGTTTAATGAAATTCGAACAAAATACCCTTTAATGCAATCATTTTTCCTGTCTTGCTTGCTAACATTTAGCTCCTTTGCAATAGTCAGTTACATCCAAGTAGAATTACAAAAGGAATAGTAGAATTACGAACTTGAAGCAGAAGCAATATTTTGTAGCGATGACCTTTTGGAGTATGCACATTCTGTGTCTATACCGTCAGTTGGTCTTCACACTTTTGACTCTGACTCTCGAAGAAGAACTGATAGTTATCCTGAATTTAGACGCAATATTCTTGCATATCGATCATACTAATTAATATCCAGTCATGATTTAACAATTATTCGCCGAAGTGGAGGTAAATAATTATTTTAGCTGTATGTAACACTGAGAAATCGAAAAAAATTAGTTTATTTCTGTCAGTATAACAAAACACGTCTTTGACGCGCGCTCTTGTCTCTTCGGCCGCTCAGAGGTGAATGGTATGAGTTGATCACTTCCGAACCAGCCAATCAACGCACGCGATCAGCATTTTTCACCTGTGTGGAATATACTAAACATTAATATCTCTCACAGAAAATTATTATATCGATCATTGTTTTTTCGTTTTATATTGATTTTAGCTCTGTTCAGCTACTCTCAAACTCGAGATAAAATAAAGTTTATGCGTCTATCAATGTATTCTTAAACTTTGTAATTTATCGGTTAGAGTCTTGCTGGGGCTCTGACCGATATTACCGTGTCCGTGAATAAAATTAAAGACAGAAAATTCAATCTACCACTTTCTTTTTTCTATAATTAGGCAAAGATGGTCAGCCAATTTTGAGGGTGAGACAGGCTGGGTCGGACTTTGCACTCCACCTGATGTTGGACGTGCAGCAGTGGGATTATGGCGCGTTAGGTTCACGTGCAGGTCTCATGGTATTCATTCATGATCACGAAACACCACCCCTGGTGGCGCAACTTGGTTTCGCAGTGGGGCCTGGAACGAGCACCTTTGCGGCAATTAACAAACAGAAGGTAACTGAGATAGATAATTTTAAATGTTTAATCACAGTAGATGTAGTCAAGTGGCGTAGGAAAGATACTAAAAGGAAAGAACAACAACAAAAACCGACCCACGCGTGTAGGCTCATGAAAATATTGAAATCGTTTCGTAAAATTGCATCGTGATCTGAAAACAATTTAATGGTTTAAATTTTAAGGACGAAAGACCGTTTTCATTTTTCGTATTTTATTAAAGTGAAAGAAAGGATGGGCGATATCTTTAATAAACTTCATACGCATATGCGAATAAAGTTGTTTAGAAGCTATCTCAATTGTTGGTACTATTTTTTTGCCAGACTATTAGCCTTCCAGACCCATATGAGAGCAATTGCCTGGACAAAAACGACAGCAAGGTACCTGGTTACAAGACATACACAATTCTTGGTTGTCTGTTGATGTGTCAAACAAAATATGTAATTGAAAAATGTGGCTGTCGGGATGTTGGAATGCCTGGTGAGTGAAACTGAGCTGATAATCAACATTTCGACCTTGCTTAGTTAGTTTATTTTTATTTTAAAAAAAAATTTAAAACTGCTCAACCCTGTATCTAGATCCCATGAGTAACTAAGGCAGGATTTCTCCTTACAATACCAATACAATATCAAGCAGATAAATGATGAAAATAAAGAAAACATCAATTGGAGGACTATTAGTTGATCCAATACCAAATTCTCTTAACTAACATAATAAGAACTGTATGGCAGACAGTAAGGAGAATTACTAATGAGATCTTGGGAGTGAAAGGGTTACGTGAGCTGTAATGTTGTCTAGATAGTAATAAAAAATATTTCTTCTGAGGTCTCTTTTCTCTTGGAACTTTTCGTGTCTGGGTGTTCAGCGCAATTTCCCACGATGCAACTGTTAAACGTTGTGTGATGAAATTGTCTCTTGAGTGGCTGCTGGATTAACTCAATCTAATCACCTGTTTGATTGATAATTTGATTGCTTTAATTGACAGCAATTAACGACACCAGAATGTGTAAAGCACAGGATTTATCAGATTGTGTGCTTAGAGAAAAAGATGTCGGTTTGTGTTTTAAAATTTCAACTTCGTTTACAATTTACAGATTTGTTTTTATTTTGTTTCTTCTATTGTTTCCACATGCTCGGTCATGCGAACAGGAGCAGCTGGAAGGAACAGATAATGCCCAAGATTAAATATAAGAAAAAATATCCCAGCGCTCTTTTACATCATATCAAGCATGCGAACGCGCTTGTTAAGAGAAATTTTTACCTCATCGGGAAGTTGTTATTGTTTAATGCCTCAAAGAACACGGGATGAAGGAGTTGAATTACTTCACCTCGTCTTCTTTGAGCATAATTGAGTATAATTCGAATGGTATTCCTGTAGTTTCTTTCTCAATATAGAAACTTGCTAGCGATTTTTTGTCCATCTTCGAAGGCCGCTAACTACAAGCAACCTGACGTGAATGATTTCAGTCATCCATTACAATTAAGCCTGCAGTTGTTTCTCTCGACAATTATGCTCATGGAGTAAGAGAATATTTTTGACACAGTCAGCGTGTCATTTGACACGGTTAACGCGTCGTTTTGCCAATTTGAACTTCGTATCCTCTTACACACCGGCGTGACTTTTTACACGGTGCAGAGCCTGAAAACTCCGCTTTTTTCTCTCTACATGTGGATTGTTTTCATCATGTCATATATACTGAAAAAAGAAAAAAAATGGCTGTATAATCGGACACGCCGCATAGGAGGCACTGTTTCTTTTCACTCACTGCCTTCCGGTTTCACATGCTTTACCGTGCGCGTGCGTTCACCTTATTACATATTTTCCAGCAGATAGTAACATTTATAAACCTTTCCGTGAATTCCAGGAAATTTCCGGAAACTAAAAGATCAGCAATGCAAGTGTCCAGTGCCTTGTAGTACGACCTCATTCAGGCCTATCCTGTCATATGCTGCTTTTCCAAGTGATGAATACATCAAACAATCACATGAATTATATGAGATCTATGGCTCCAACACATCAGAGGCTAGTCTTGACTTTATCCAAGGATACATGAGGTTTGTGTCATTAATGAGTCCAGGAAAAATAAGATAACAGGACTTGAGAGAAAACATTATATACGAAAAAGGATGATTAATTTGTTATCACTTTGTCGAGCATTGTGGTGCATTTTGCGGGCTAAATTGGAGATTCTGGTGAGCTAAAATGTATCTTAGCCCACTCGCACGCTCGCGTGATTGTTCAGACTGTTTTGTTGTCATTTGTTCTGTTTTTTATTTTCTCAATGCCCTCCAAAGTGATGAAAATAACAATACATTTTATTTTCTTAAGCATGAAATATGTTTTGGTCCCCTCTCAGAGTCATTTTAATCTTCAGCTGGAGGCTCGCCGCTAAAATGACTCAGAGGTGGATCCGAAACATACTTATGTCTGCGATTATAAACTATGTTTTTAAGGAGAGTTAAAAGCACATTCTCCCAAACTTGGTGCGTGGGAAGTTTCGGACGCATTCTCTATTTTAATGATAAGTTCGCTTTTGTTAACTCCATAGCCAGAACATGTTGGAACTTGTGATTTATTTTGAAGAATTAAGTTATCATGTCATTGAACAGACACCAGCCTATGATTCCGAAAGCCTTTTTGGTAAGTGAGTTCAATAATTAGAATAGGAATGCTTTGTTTGAAAATTTAATATCCACAAGGTTATTAACCCAAACTAGACATGATAATATACCTCTACTAGGACGACGGAAACTGTGTTAAGTTTGAAATTTTTGTATTTTTTTTCAATATGTAACAATATGTATCAATATGTTTCAATGTGTTGGAAACCCAAAATTTCCGATTGCAGACATGTATGCTTTCTGGGGAGCTAAGGAACTTTATATCTACCGCGACGTGTGAAAAATTTCCTTAAACATAGATAAGAAACTGGTATATATTTCTTTGGTAGTAGACTGAGAAAGTGTGACGACGGTCACGAATGACAGAAATTGTCAAAGATGGAAAACTGCAAACTATAATAAGATCCAGGCTGATTTTTTCAACATGGTCGAACAGCGAAACATCTTCTTTAAAACTGGTGAATTAAAGACGACACCTTGAAAACAACAAAAAAATGAAATTACTTTACCATGAGGAGATTCTGGATAAGTGTAACATTAACTTTATCTTTTTCACAGCCGAAATCGGTGGTCAAGTCGGGCTTTGTGTCGGTGCCAGTCTTCTTACCGTGCTTGAATTTTGTGACGTCATAATCGCCATCATTGGAATACGCTTTGGATTCCGCTAAGCATGCGCAAAGGTGTAAAGTTGGATGTGTGAAGAATCCCAATAATGGTAATTTTAAGTTATATAGAATAATTCAAACTTTGAAATGTAATAGCGTCATCACATTACATGGTTCTGAAAGTCAAGCTTATATTGCAGACATGACGCAGGCAGCATGCAGTGATAGTGCATGCACCTGCACAATAAAGCATTTATTTACAGCGTATTCATTCTGTTTTATTTACTGTATTTACTGACCTGGGAAATACCGTAAGGCCGACGGCTCACGACTGTCCTTCAGCAAACAGTAACTCGACCAGATTTGTGAGCAGTTTTTTACATTGCTCCAGTTTACCTCCAGTTTATTCAAAAGTTGTGCCTTCCTTGGTCACTTGAAGCCCGTCATAGTGACATGGCTGAAACTGCAATAGTGACCTCATTTAAATGCTTTATCTCAACCCCTTCCATACTTGCTTCTTTTAATAACTATCTCATTGCTGACGCAAAGTTGGGACTAATTGGCTACACGGCGGAAATGGCACAGAAATAATTTATCAATGAAGTAAGCCAATTGATAATCTACAGCTGTATTTATAGGCGAAAATTAAGGGAAATGATTACAGAGTCAGTTTATTTGGAAACCTGGATACTGGTTTACCAATCTTAAGAAAACGTGAGATCCCAAGCTGTTCGTGACAAGCAGCAAAAATAATGAGATCTGAAAGACCTTGCAAACGTTCGACGAACTGTTTTTCTTAAAAACTACGCACGTACCCACCTACGCACCCATAATTCATCGTACAATGGAGCGAATGTTACCGAAGAAATTATTAATGATTTTCGGTTTTGCGGTTCTGCGGTTTTACCTTATGTCAAAGGTCTTTCCGAACAACTTCGCCGTTGCCTACAACAACAAGGCGTACGCGCTGTTTTCAAGTCGGAGACTACGCTAAGATCTCAGTTAGTACGACCAAAAGACGCTGTCGACCCGGCTAAACAAGATGGCGTAGTTTACAGGATTCCCTGTGAATGTGGCAAGACCTATGCAAGACAGAATTAAGGAGCATGATCGAGACATTCGACTCGCCCGTACCGGCACCTCCGCCGTTTCAGAGCATGCCCACAACACAGGACACAAGCCACTCTGGAACGAGGTAAAGTTTATTGATCGTGACCCTTATTACTACACGCGCAGAGTCAAAGAGGCAATTCATATAAGACTTCACCCTAACAACATCAACAGGGATAGTGGAATAGAAATTCCAGAAGCGTGGATGCCCACGATCAAAAAACACAACAACAGGAGAGCCGTGCGACAGCGGACCGCCGAGGGAGCAAATCACTGATCAGCAAGGATCAAAATGCACCAATCAGAGATGTTGAAAAACAACAAATCAGCAACTTGTTTTTACAACAGTCGCCTCGTTTATTCAAGTGATTGTATCTTGGTCAACGGTTACGAGAGGGGAAGCCATTTTGTTGCTCTTTGACAACTTAGGAGTAAACGTTTCTAAGCTAACTATCAACGAGCTAGCCAATATTGCGGACGTAAAGAGCACTATCAACTTGAATTGCTCATACTAATAATTAACGTTATCATAGTTAGCCATACAATCAGAGCGCGTGTTAATATATATCGCCTGCTAACAGCAGCCTTACATATGAAAATGCGTGTATGTTGATATTTTATTTCGCGATTAGATTTTATGAAATCAAAAGGCCGCTATTTCCTTCTCCCTTCCAATTTATCCCCTTTTTTCTAGGTTTTTTCCCAGGTTTTTTTAGACCTGAGTAAATGATGCTTCCGAGAAAAATGGCTTTAGTGAGATTTAAAACAGAAGCAGTAAAAACATTCATGGAAGAATTTTCATGGCAATGCACAATTTTTCGTCCAATAAGCTTCTTAAAGTCTCATCGGAAAGTAACCCTTAGGATATTCCTGTACTGTTATACACGAGATATCCATAATTATCCGCAGAGGCAACGCCATTTCAGAACTTCCCCAGAAAGCCCATTCCTTAGTTCTAATGGTTTGATATCGGAGCTAACTTCACTGATATTAGGAGATATTCCTCCGACTGGATGTACTATCTTTCGTTTCGTTTTCTCACATGCAGATTTGTGGTCGAGCTCACTGAAAAAGGTTATAATGATGGAGACAAATTCTCCCGATGCAAATCAAAAATGCGTATGAATAATGGATTAAGGTTTTTCAAAGTTGCATGCCATACTTCGAGTTAACCAGTTCATATTCAGGAAGAGAATTAGAAATTAATAACTCACGAGTGAGCGCAGCGAATTAAACACGAGAGGAGAAATTCCATATCATTTTGTTTATTATATAAAACACAAGAGTCCTTTACTGACAAGAACATTATGAATGATTAAATTATCTGACTTTATGTCGACATAAGCGGAATCAAAATGTTGTTGCGGAGTTTTCATTTTTTTTTTTTTTACTTTAACTTGACTTAAAAAAATCCACCTTGTTTCTGAAACCTGCGTTTAAGATTGATTACCGAAAGAGCTTAACTTTTAATCACTGAACGCTGAGCTTAAATGCGGGATTACCTGCCAGTTAGCTTACTCGCTTTTCTCTCGACCTCGTTTCTCTCAAACATATCGACAAATGTAAACGACGTGGTCATGAAATTACCGAATAATAAACAGTTTCTCTGACAATACTCTTTGCTTACTTGCGTAAATCATATTTAGAGAATCGTTCCCGGAGCAATGGCATAATTACAGAGACACAATGCAAAATAGCTATTACATTAACAAAGAGTACAACGTCCATTAATGTTTCGGATTATTACAGTCTAACATCATTCTCGGTGTGTCGGCAACTTTCCTCCCCAGGGAATAGATTCACCAATGGCCAACCTCGTGGAGTAAGGTGTTTCTCCACTTGCGAAACACTCATTTCAGTCTGGTTTAGGCAGTTGGAATCCTTCGCATTGTTGGTCATGACTGCAAAGGACTCTGCTCGGTTGTCTTTTGTATGGTTGGAATCCCTCCACACACAGCACCCTGCAGTCCAGAGTGCACGGGGGATCGCAAGTTTTACATCGTCAAGGAAGACTTCAGAATGGAATACGTTGACGTTCCCATTGTCCGCAATGATTCCTTCCATGTCATATTCGGAGGTTCCGGTCAATAGATACAAAGTTCCATTTCGAGCACGACTTCCACAGGTCTCCTTAGCGTAGCGACGAATGTTCGCTTCGAAAATCTCCCAAGGTCCGCTGTTAGATGCAATATATTGTGGCACCGCATTGGTGAGGGTGAATGTTGCCTCTAAACTGTTTATATCGAATGTATTTATGGCTGCGGGATTCATGTGGCCCTTGCTAAGAGGCTCTCGTCGGGTCAGTTTCCTGTACGCGCCATATAAGCCAGGAACACCTAAGAAGAGAGAAAAGCGTCTGATCAGAAAAAAATTTACTCAAGTCTCACCCAAAATTACTGCTGCAAAACCTTTTACATAGATACCAAAGGATCACAGGTTCGACTTTTCTCAGTAGCGCCTTCTTGAAAAAAATGGTGATCCAAAATTAAAATACAGACATAAAAGGATTACCAGGAGGATTCCTCCACCACCCTTTCGCATCTTTCCTGTGGAGTTTTCCAATGAAAGGCGCCTGTTGTGGAGTCACTTTGTAGGCAGAGTAGAAGGGGATGTTCCTCTCCGGATCAAACAGCGAGACGAAGTAAGGCGGAGTTCCTTGAGGTTCCTCAGGAAGTAATTGCTGAATTTCCTGTCCCCGATGAGTATTAGGGAGACCCTCTGGACGTTTGTTCCTAACGAAATATGGTGCTGACCGTGGCGACCAAGTCTTTCTTTGCCTGATGGGCCCAGCGTCTCCCTCAGTTTCTCAAAGGAAAAGAAAGGTTAAGCGATGTTGCGGAAATGAAAGCACCGGGAGGAAAATTTCAATCAGTGTTTTAAACGTAGATTGTCCATAATTATGAAAGCATTGTTCCGGGTCAGGAATCTCCTGAGTCATATTCTACGGATCTCATTAGTTTCAATCACAATGTGATTTTAAAGTAATTATCCTATTGAAAAATCCTATTGAAAAATCCTATCGAAAAATCAACTGCTGCTGTCTAAGAAACCAGGACATTCTATGGAGACCAGGTGTAACTTGAGCCTTAAAATCAACATGACTTCATTGAGATATCATTTCAGTCTAAAAGTGAAATCTTCTCATGCATAAAAATCATATCAGGACTCTCTTAGGCTTCCTAGTAAGATTTTGATAAAAAATTTTACCTCTACAGGTTTCCCTCTCTAGTAAAACGAGGAAATAGAATCTGTACACATTTATGATCCTAAACTTATAAAATATTTTTAGCTTGTGCTTTACATACCGAGATGAGAGGCTTTACTGGAAAATGCACCCACTAGTAGCACAAAGATGATTGAAAAGGACGCAATATCTTTAACTGCCAGCATTGCCACGGGATCAAGAGGCACTTTCCTTTAATTGCTGTAAAATACAACAAACTTAACGTACGTAAAGACACATATTATTTGTAAGTCCACGAACGGTAATAATTATTTACCTCGCTGAGGGTATTTAGATCTTCTTATATATACAATCTTCAAGGTAAATTTTGCACTGTCAAATGTGCCATGCCACAGCCTTTTTCATCAGATAGTACCCTTGTAATTCATTTCAAGTAACTCACACTTTATGAGTAAAGAAAAAACACTTCACTTCATTCTTCTAAACAACAATTATGAAAAAAACGCTCATTAGGAAAGTGGTGAATACTCGCTGACCATGAAAGAGGGAAATCTTACCTCAGAGAGTACTAGAATCACGAATTCCACTTGGTTCTTCAATACGCAACTGATTATAACCCGTATAATGTACCCGCACCAATTTCCCTGCTTATATACAACTTCGATTTACTCAGAACCAAATTTAGATAACGAAGAATTGAAACAAAAATCGTCATGTCATGTTTCAATTTTAAAATGTCTTGACCTAATTCGTGACGAGGTTACAGTATATCGCTCTTTTTAGCGCCATTTTGACACACGGATTCATGTTAATTCAAAAGTCATGAATTAATTTTGTAACTTGGCTTTTTCATTCTTGTAAGGTAAAGAAATTCCTGATAAGGGCTCACCCGACCGCAATCGACAGCATGTATTTAATTTTTATACCGAACTCGACGCTTTTCCCTCTTTAAATTTGGTCAAACTGTATTTGATCCAAAATGGTCGTGTAGATATAATTAAACCGAGTACTTGAGAACACACGCAGTCTAATCTGAGTTTACAACCTTTTGGATTAGAAAACGAAATCTTCACGTCACGCATTCATTTATTGTTTGTAATGTCACCCTTGCAGATATTGTAATGATAAAAAAAAACTTTTTCAAAACGAATAAGCCGCCAAATATAGCTAATTTTCTGAAGCTGAATTGGAAACCGAAATTTGAACCTCATCCTTGCGGGATGCATCTGTTGGTTATAAGGCTATTTTCCTGATTATTAAGTCAAAGCACGCATTTATTTTACAAAAATTATGAAATTATTTTCTTATTGGGTTTTTTTACCCTTGCAAACCAAAATATTCCTTACATGCATAACCAGCTTTGAAATTCCAATCAGAAACACAAATCTACTGGCAACACGAACACTCTTCCATCTTTGATTGAGCCGGCGACTGAATTCTGCGGTTTAATGGGTATGTCGCAATGTACAATACAAGGAGGCCGGCAACAAAGAGAGACAAATCATGCACTCCAGGCTAAAATATTCATCCAATATTAAAAAGGAGATAGGAAAGTTTGAACGAACGACTGCGAACGACAATTTTTACTCGCAGATCTTTCCTATGTGAGACTTAAATTGTCGTCACTTCCTCTCTATGAGGATCAATATTGATTTTATTTTTCGTTGATTAGCTTTAGTTGTGGATAAAAAGAATTCCTCAATCCCCCTAACACTGATTGACTTGTAACTTGTCTCAACAATATATAAAGAATTTTTAGCTTTTTTCCCGTACTGCATAACAATTAGGGAAGTGGTTTGGTCATCATGCGACACGATCGAGGCAAGAGCTAAGGTAACTTTATCGTGAACATATTTCACATAAAAAGGCTGCTTTACTTTTCGTCGATCAGGAATTAATTGGGTACAAATAAACATCCGAGTGAATGAAGATTTAGATATATGAAAATTCACATATTTGCACTGCGGTGGAAAGATGAAATTAGAAGATCCTCGCAGCTAAGAACACTACTGAAACTAGTAGTTTGCACCGCAGTGCAAATATGTGAATTTTCATATATCTAAATCTTCATTCACTCGGATGTTTATTTGTACCCAATTCATTGACCAGCTCCCAGTTGGCTTGTTAGCTCAATTGGTAGAGCGCTGCACCGGTATCGCAGAGGTCATGGGTTCAAATCCCGTACGGGCCTGAAATTTTTTTCAGCTCCTACTTACAACTACTAGTTTCAGTAGTGTTCTTAGCTGCGAGGATCTTCTAATTTCATCAATTAAGAGCAAGTTAACAATTGGTTCAAGAAGCTAGAGTTGCTCTCGGCTACGCCTCGAGCTACTCTTACGCATCTTTCGTGCTCTCCAAACTTCCTGCGTACTTCATATCTCGATGAACGCACAGCTGACGTATGAACCAATTGTTTTATAACAATTTCAACCACATGGAAAATTTTTTCCTCTAGGGATTTGTTTGCTGACATCATGAGTGTGCACAATAGGAATATGAAGCACGCTCGCGCAATAGAATTTGAGTAGACAAATTTACCAGCTGTATTATAATTGCCTTTGAATCTCAATTATTACTAGTGCTCTCTCTCTAAACATACCCACCTGTACTAAAACTGGATTTCCATTGTCGAGCTTTTGTCCACGTACGTGATCGTGCGTTAAAAAAGAAAACTACGCACGTTGAAATGAATGTTTACGTGAGTTATCTCATCCGTTGACTAAGCGTTGCCATATTCCTACTTCCGCGTAATATTTAAGAAGTTTACGTGCATTTAGCGCACGTCGCAATTGCAGTCATCCTCCACGTATGGGCCTGCGTTTTCTCGCACGTAACAACAAAACGCGTAGTATTGGTTTTCTCGAGGCAATGGTAATCGCTTACGCACGTTTCTTTTGACACGTTTTACGTACGGAAAATCTTACGTAACACTGGAAATTGAAAGCACGTGTAGTTCAACAGAACAATAAACTACGACAGTATTGTAAAACTGGGTGAATCAGCAAAATAGCAAGAATTTCACCTCACCACAAAACTCTGTTCTCAAGAATTCGAAAGCTATTTTGAGCTCGATGTAAATAGAGAAACTAGTACGTGCCGGTCCTCAAAAATTTGTTTCTTTGTAAAAAGAAGTTGAAGTCAACATAAGCAGTAGATATTGCTTAATAAAAAAAACAGGAAAACAAAAACCGTGGGCAAAAAATAAAAGTGACATGTTCGTGAGCGTGTCATCATGACAACACCGCTAACTTCACATTTTAATATGTGAATAGTTGGGATCTAGGTCAGTATCTGAGCAACTGCACATCTACCCCTTCCCTAACCCTACAACATGGTCAACCGATAACAGGGTAGGGTTAGGGGAAGGGTTGGTTGTAGTTGTTCAGATACGGACATTGATCCAATAGTTCAATCCTCGGGCGCTTGGAGGATATCTTTTAATCTCTTCTTTTTTCGAAACGGTAAGATTTCTGGTGTTCATCAACACCATAGGATCGAAAATCTACTAAACTCCTAAGCACACATCTGAATTCATTGGTGTCCTGAAGACAATTTTTTACATCGGCAAAGAGGATCGCTGTTGGTTACATATCAGGTTGGACCTTTTTCAGTTATCTGTATTGAGATATGTTGAATAAATACACCCTGAGATTTACTAAATTCTTCATTTACGTCAGCGTCAAGGTTTTCATTAAAAAAATATTGTCTAATGGCCCTTCATAGTTACTTAACTGTGAAAGTGATTCAGATGTATAAATTTGATTCTTATGCCTCACCTCGAGCGCTTTTTAAAAATAGGAAACTGTATTTTTCGCTTGAATCACGTGGATCGGCTTGAGGCTTCCTTGTTCGACCATGAGCTACTAATTCTCGTCCGAGCTACATCGAAGAATTCGAAGAGCCTGCAGAATCTTGTATCAAGGTGTGCATAGTAAGTTGCTTCATTCATCCAAAATTTTTTTGTCAGTCAGGCTTGATATTGAAAGTTAAAGCTTTGTTTTGAAGGGCGCAAAGTTTGGCCAAATTGATATTAAAAAAAAAAAAAGAAACAGACATCAAAGTGAAGACTTTTGTTAAAACTGGCCCCTAATTTAGAACAAGTTTATCTTCCATTCCTGACATCAATTATATCGTCTGACTGCATTGTTCCACACGATACTTTTTGGCACCTTGCTTCATCTGTTTAAACGATGTGTTTGTCAGTGACGTCACTCAAACCCCATCCCTTCGCCCCCCTGTATGGTCGTATTATTTATTCCTGTTTTCTATTTGGTTTTCAAACAGCCGAAGCAAGATAAACATGAAGATGCCTTCAGTTTTATTGTTCTGTATCGTGGCTATGAGTGCCCTGGAATACTTTGTAACAGGTAATGAATTTTCCAACACTTTAACTCCCAGAATTGATGGATTGTGAATTTCTCCTTGCAGTTTGAATAAAATGTCTAGCAAGCAGGTGGAAAGCATAGGCAAACTTGTCTGCTTGAGGGTTTCTTCTTGATAAAACAGTAAATTCTGTTAAGCTACAAGCGAGGAAATGTATAGAAGTTGATAAGGAGAGTGAAAGACCATGACAAGGCTGAACATGCTAAATTCTTATGCGCTTGTTTTCAGCTGCCTTCATTCAGGCCGAACCAACTCTAATGGGAAGAGTATCCAACAGACATTTTAAAGGTTTGGTGACAACAATGGAGAGATGTTAACTGTTAGCCGTAAATTGGCTAGAATTTTAACCGTCAGCCGTAAAAGTCGTTACTCCACTACCCTCTTATAGCATTTGTTATTTTCTTAATTTAATATATATTCCATTATTTAAGGCAATTAAATTATAATGAGCGCATTTGAGAATTTTTATTGAGCCAAAACAGAACTTTCCCTTGTTTACACCACCTTTCAAGGGGGTCTGTTTGCCTTTTGTCAAATCCTTATCTCACTTTTATAGCAAGTAGACTAATCGCTAAAAATTGAAATCAGAAAGCCTGCTCAGCAGATGGTTTGTTATTCGTTTAATGGCGTGGGGGTGCGGAGCCGCGAGAAAGAGTGGGAGGCCTGGGGTGTAAAATAATTGGAGCTCGATGGGAACTTTGCATGACATCCCAAGAACGACTGAGAGGGAGACAGGGTTTAAAATTAAGAGGCCAAAAAATCACTAAGATAAATACGAGTCACTCGATGTCCAGAATCAGTTGTACGATTAAATGTTAATACTATATGTCAGGCATATAGGTGAGTGACTCTCAGAAACGTTTCAGACGAATTTGCAGAGCTCTGGTCGGGCAATCGATAATTTTGCTGGTTTATGTCATCAGATTTTGCTATCAACTTTCATCTGTAAGTCATGGATTATTATTGCAAAGCTGAGCTTTATGAATTATTACCTGCTTATTTTCAGCTGCCAACATTCCGACCGAAAGAAGAGAATCCATCAAAAAATGTAAGGAAAGTTTGATCGAGTACATAATGAATTGTTTGCTCGGCAACTTTGAACATTCATCAGAATGTGAAAACAACCAACTTGAAAGTCACTCAGTTTCCTCTAATTATGAGGCCGCTTTTCTTTCGCTCTTTGAAAATCAACCGTCTTCAGAGTGAAACTGAGCCAGTAAGGTCTCACACTCACTATTACACCCAAACTCCAAGTTGTAATTCATTTTATCATCCTGTTGCCGATCTGCGCCTGTTAGTCTGGAAAAAACTAAGATTAAAGACACTTGATAACACAGAAAAGCTAAATACCCTGCGTTTGTTCTACCAGGTGGCAAATTCAAACCAATAGGTAAAGCTTTGATACGACTGTTCTCTCTTAGTGAAACAGAAAAGAGTTGGCACCAACTTTGACGCAATATTTATGAACAGGGATCGAGGGAGGGCGTGAAGATTTAGCACCCGGGAGACTGCTGGCATAAGGTAAGTGTAACCGCGAAGAATAGTTACGCTTGTCACTTAAAAGTTGCCTTTTCCCAGCTTAAATAATAATAAAAAAAAACAGATGGCTAAGTTAAACGTCAATGGCTATAGACTGTTGTTCAGGTTCTAAAATTAACTAGCAGTGTTGTCTGTTATTCAATGATTTAGTTCTGTTAAGTTTTCTCTCTTTGAGTTAACTCCATAAGGTAACGATAGGTGTTTAATAATTCGTTACACAAGTGAATCACCAAGTGGTTCTCTACAAGATCACAATCTGAAAACTCAAAAAAGGCAACGAGAATTAAAATGTTAAAAGAGGGTGCTCAGGGAGAATGAAGATTTACAAGGATTCAACGGACGAACTTGAATCTCAAAAATTTAGGTAGCCTATTTAAAAAACTTTTTTCTGTTTCCTATTTCAGGCATTTACACCATACAAAGCAAGTAGTTAGAAGAAGGGACGTGTAAAGATTTTTCTGTATTCATTGCAATTGTTAACGTAGTAAAGACTGATTTCTGATCAAAAATCGTTTTCTTTGACTGAGAGATGCTAATTTTAGGGGGGGGAGAAGGTTTAAGAAGCGACGTTATTTTATATTTGCTATTTAAAATAACGCTAAGGCAAGTTCAGATTCCAGAGAGTAACTTAAACCTTTGAAAGTTGTCTTGAAAAATACGATTCAAGTTTTGCTTAGCAAACCAGCCTTCACCTTAGTGACGCATAACAATCCTGGTTACCTTTCTCCCATGTCTTGGCAATATCTTTGAACAAAAACAGCTGCACATAAGGCTCGCCTCACTCGGTTTTTAGTTCACCGAGTGAATGACAAGTATAAATAAGATGTGAATAATGAATATTTGGGTTTCAAAACTTCGGCGGACTACTGAATATTATCACCGACATTCACTGTTTGGAAAAGCTTTCAGTTGATCATTAAAAGTCACTTGAGCAACGTCCTTAAAGAAATCAAACAAATTCCGCCGGAACAACAAAAGGGACAAAATTGAGAGAGAAAGTATACATCAAGATTACGTTTAATGGGGAATTCGCACGATCGATGTCGGTCTAAAGATCCAGAGTATAAGACTTGCCAAGATTCCAAGACTCCTAAAGCCCGACATTCGCAACGAGAAATCTATACCAGATTTTTTCTTTAGAAAACTTAAAACTTAGTTCTCAAATTACTAGTCTTCTACGAGGCTATCCTAATGTTTTTCCCTGACATTATATTTATTTTTAATTATGCACAGGGATAGAAAACAATCCTTTTAACAATAAAGATGTTTTAATAGGAGGGAAACCCTTCTTTTTACGGGAATGGTTTTCCAAAGTAATCATTCATATTTAAGACCTTCTTATCAAAAGTGGCAGCCTCGCTCCTTTACAGAATTCCAGAAGAAATATGACTGTAGAACCAAATTCCTTAATTTATTCAACGGCACTCACAATGCCTTCGGCGAATAATTGTTAAGTATTCCCACCACTAATCTGCTTGATGTTGTATTGATATTGCAAAGGGAAATTCTGTCTTGGTCACTCATAGGAGTTAAAGGGTTCATGGGATGTATGTTTCGGAAAATAAAGTGTTTTTATTTCCGTTATTTATTAACATATAAGAAATTTTGTCGCTAAAGCAGACTGAATTTCAAAAAGTAACCCAACCCTTTGAAAATAATAAACTGTACTGAAAATTCGATCAAAGACGCCGGCATTTTAAATTTTCTTAATTTCCTGTCTTTATTCTCTTGATCCAATGATGCTGTGAGCCTCTTTAGTTATCTATAATCATTCATGACCTTCATAAAATCCTGCTGTTCTCTCTCTGCATTACATCGACTATGTTTGTCGCTTCGACATTCACGTTTTGGTACACCAACAATTAAATTGGTATGTATTGTAAATTAATCGTAAAAATCGCGTACTATTTTTTTATCAGCCTGTTTAGTCATTGTTAACACCTTGTCAGTAAAGATAATGTAACTTTCCATACCTGTCAGGAGAACTTACTTTTTTCACCTGCATGTGTGGATGGTGTTATCAAATTTAATGCAATGCATTTGCAAAGTATACAATGCAATGATCATTTTGTAAGGCATATCTTGGCTTTCAAATACCTACTTTGAGAATCCTTCGGAAGACAAAGTCTGAAATTTTCAAAACGCAAAGAATGTCGGCTGTTGTTAAAGATAATTAAATATTCTAACTATTTCTGTTTCTCTCATTCATAAACAAATAAGGAAAGTTTTCCTTGCACTTTTCCTTCTTCAGAAGAGCAAAGACTCAGAAAAACAACAACTTCATTTGAGTGCGAAAGTTTGATGAAAGCTGGGTTTCGGATGCATGTCCTTGAAAACTGGTGAAGAACGAAGATCAGTCAGTTGAAAAAATACTAATAGTTCAAAGATTGTTATTTCATACAAGGAAGAAACTTTGTCGTTGTAAGCTGTAACAAATGTTTATACGTCTCCATGAATGGTGTATTTCAGCGTGGCGATGTAATCATTTACTTCAGAAACTTTCCAAGTTGAGATTTACGATAAACGATGGCATACAAGAATTTTAACCAATTGTTGAGAGAAAAGGTAACACGGTGATACCAAAGCAGTTATAGCAAGCCCGCTAAAATATTTAACCCTTTAACTCCCATGAGTGACCAAGACAGAATTTTCCCTCACAATATCAATACAAAATCAGGAAGACAAGTGATGAGAACCAAGAAAAGTATCAATTAAGGGATTATTAGTTGATCTAATACCAAATTCTCAGAATTAACATCAGAAGAATTGTACTGCAGACAGTAAGGAGAATTACTAATGTGATCTTGGGAGTTAGAGGGTTAAAATATTGCCGCTAGCAGGCTGCAATATTAAAAAAATTGCAGTGCAGCCAGCCCACTGCAATATTGAGCGTCTTAGCTAGTTTAAGACTACCCCTAATGTTTTGCATCATGATAAATTAAAAAGGGGCTTCTCCATTTTCCTCAGAAACTTGGACCAGACTAGAACTGTATACCTTCTCGGGCTGAAATCGCCGACATAAAGCAAAAAGAGAACGTTAGGATATTATGGGGGTCAGCAATTATCTGACTTGAATGGACATGTTTGGCGACCATCCCACCTCCGCGCGACTATGACTCGTGTTTCGCCTTTACAAAGCCTTTAACACTCCCTATTTGTTAGTTTGATCATTGGAATGGGCTGTTTTAAACGTTTTCTGTTGGCTCGCTGCGACACCTATTTACTTGTGTTTCTCTTAGAGTCTCGTTTTATACATGCTTTTAGCCTATGAACTTAGGTGCTCTGTATCGTGACAATGTATGTCATGGAATGTCATACATTGACAGACATAATCTTTAATTTCGACAATTGATTGACTCGTGTCTTCTCCCTGCTCTTTAAATTCAATGTCTATAGTACCAGCAGGAAGTGAGCCAGACAAACTGCGACAGCGAGAGAGTTTTACAGCGATAAAACGCTTAAATCTCTTGGTTAAAAAAAGAACAAGAAGAAGTTTGAGACAGTCTTGCAAGCTATGGGTGAAGGGTGCCTTTTGGTGCAGCTCTTTTTTGTTCCAAGAGATGGTCAAGAGATGGGAGAAAGGCGAGTAGGTCTTATTTTTTGCGTCACATGTAAGCAGACGAGTTGCTGAGCGAAATTATTCAAAATGGCGGCGTCTGTAATCGAGTTTTCAGCACATGTTGAGACAATTTTCAAAGCTTTAGGTTAACCTTTCCAATTTCATAATGCATGGGTGTTTATTTCTCGAGTTCTTCAAGAACTCGAGATGGTTATATGGTTTATATCTCCACCATTTAAAGTTTAAATGGTGGAGGTATAAACCATATAGTATCTGGAACATACACTCCCTTAAAACTAGCTTTACACAGTCAAAGAACGCCCCTTTTTTTCAGCAATCAATCTTTATTGCAGTTATGGCAACATTTACTACAGAAACAATTTTATTGCTCCCTCCTCTAAGCTACTTGCCATGATTGCTGTAACGTAAATACCTGCAAATGCGAAAAAAGAAAAAAATTATTAATGATAATCTCGGCCTTCGAAGAAGAAGGAGATCGAAATTTGTCCGTGCAATCCTTGTAAATCTTCAACATCCCTAAGTACTCTAGTATCGCCTGGATTCCTATTCCTTTTTTAATTTGATGTTTTTCAATTCTAACCTTGCAAGGCACATGTGGGAAAACGCCACGCTAAATTCCAAGCGTGGCCATAGCTTCAAGTAAAACTTACCTTATCTATTCATTTCCTGGTCCCCATTCTTCAGCCCAAGTTTCAAGCCCTCCTAGATGCAGGCACAGCGAACCCACTAGAGAGAGCATATACATCAAAACTTAATTAGTTACGAAGTTAATACCTGGCAAACAAAAGTAAGGCATTAAGTTTTATTCATTCAAAGGCTTTATATAAATTTCTTTTAGGCTTAACAATGTATGCAAACGAAATCATAAGAGAAGCTCAAATTGCAGTTTTGAGATTCTTAAGAGTTGCTTAATCGTTGGAATTGTCTTTAGATGTGTTGAATACCCGTCAATGGACGCCGCCATTTTGAAAACAACTCAGTAACCTGGTCGCACCCGCAAAGAGCGCGTTTTGGTACATAGACAGCTACTGCTTTGCTTAGCACTTAAGTCATCCTTTGAGTCAAAAATGTCTTTCTGAACAGCACATATTTCCTCACTGGGTCACCAGAGTTAATAAAAGAAGAACTGAAAAAAGAAGCTGCGGATTGAAGCATCCATAGCCGAGACAGTTTTCGAAAAGCTAGTCTGCTTTTTGGAGAGAATAATCAAATAGAGTGATTTCTGAACGATACTTCTGCCCTAAGTTAAGTGTAAGTTTGCAGTTTCTGAGGAAATGTGGTATGTTGACTTGTTTTCTTGAAGAGAGAATATCTCATCTTGATGCAAGCCATAATCACTTCGGGGGATCGAAGACATCAAAACTTTATTTCTCGATGCGAATGCCCTATATAAACATAGAAAAATTCCCCCTATGCACGATAAAATCAAAATATGTTTACACTACAGTAGAAATTCTGCAAATAATGACAATAATATAAACATTAAATTCATAAAATTACATCAGTCTTCATAGAAAAACAAAACCAAATAATTAGAATAGGCAATCCTTACATCGCTGCAAGGATTCCTGTCTCCTCTCGGTGGGAACGTCGCCTTGAGCAGATGAAAACAAGTAAGAATTTAGTACGCTCAGTTTCGCAATGATTTGAGACTTGCGGACGAAAAGTAATATCAAACTCCACGAGATGAGCCTCGGCGAAGGACAAAATCATCGATTGTCTTACAGAGCTTTTGGTTAAATACAATACTAAAATGCACACGGCATTACCATAGCAAGATAGCAAGTCAATTATATACCTATTGTATTAGTGATTATCTATTTATTAAATGTTTTGAATTTATTCCCGTGTTTTTTTTCTTGGCTTCTCATTTTCAAACTGTCTCCTTCCCAGCCGTTCTTAGGATGTCACGCAAACCTCCAATCGAGTCTCTCTTAGGCCACCATAATTTTTCATCCCAAGCGTCTTTGCGCTCTTTTTGTGTCTTTGCCAGTCTGACGCACAAGCCAAACCGTCTACCAAGGAGGTTTTATCCAAGTTATCATTTGTTAATCGATTAGCTATATAAGTGAATAAGGGACTCGAAAATGAATCCATAGAGGGAGCCAAACCCCCCCCTCTCCAAAGGAAACAGCGTAAACACGGAAAATAACTTTTTGCATAGACATAATCTTAAAATGAAGACAGTACAATAGGCAAGCTTACAATAATGATATATAAATAAACTTCAAAATCATATCTATTTTATACAATTGGCAAAAACAAATTATTTTAATCAGTTACCTTGAAATCGCCTGAGGAATATTTTTCTATCGGCTGGCATTTCTTCTGAAAACGAGCAAGTAAGAATTTAGTAAGCTGAGCTTTGCAGAGATGCAAAACTTGTAAACAAAATCTGATAGCAAAACCAATTGGGGCGAGCCCTGGCAGAGGACAAAATGATAGATTTTCTTAACAGTACTTTGCAAATTTGGCGAATACATTCTTGCGAACCCAAACCTCAAGTTTGGTGTTAATCATTTATCATGTAGGTAATTCTTTATTAATGACATGCATGTTTTTTATGCATTCATTTATTTTTGACTGTCATTTTCACGCAAAGATCTCATCGAGCTCCTAGTACGCTGCCATTATTTTCAGTCCCAAGCCTCTCTGGTCTTTTCGCTCTTTTTCACGGCGGCATTCTTATAAAGCTTTAGAGCACATAATAAACCGCCCGCTTGACAGGCTGTATCCAAGATATTTATCATCAGTCTATAAGCCACGCAAGTGAATAAGAGGATGGACAACGAACCTTTTTCTTCCCTTCTCTGAGGCGCATCACCTGAAAACAAGAAAATAATAAATATAGAAGGTGAGCTTCGCAATGATACAGATTGGAGGTCACAAAACTCAAAACTCCATCGGATGAGCTTCGGTGAAAGACAAAATCAAAATCTGGCGCACACGCCAAACCGCCCACTTAGGTTTTATTCCAGTCATCATTTTTTAGTCTCTTAGCTATACGAGTGTACAAGGGACTCGAGAATGAACCCATGGAGGGAAACAACTCCCTCCCCCCCCCCCCCGGGAAACAATGTAAACACGGAAAATAACTTTTTACATTGACACAATCTTAAAATACAGAAATTACAATAGGCAAGCTTAAGAAAATAATGTATAAATAAATATCAAAAACTTATCTAATTTACATAAATATAAAAAACAATTCATTTTAATCAGTAACCTTGATATAATCCTCCTGGGACCGGCATTTCTTCACCTGAAAACAAGCAAATAAGAATTTAGTAAGCTGAGTTTCACAGTGATGCAAGCCTTGTAGACAAAATCTGATAACAAAACCAACTGGGGCGAGCCCTGGCAGAGGACAAAATGATCGATTTTCTTAACAGTACTTTGCAAATTTGGCGAATACATTCTTGCGAATAACTCGCTTCCAAACCTTAAGTATGGTGTTAATCATTTTTCAGGTAGGTGATTCTTTAGGCGAAAGACAAAGTTATCAACCGTCTTACAGAGCTTTTACTTAAAAACAATTCTGAAATGTAACCGGCATTACGATAGCATTACGTTCTTGGCCACGGTATGTCACGCAGAGTTCTCATCGAGCGCCTATTACGCTGCCATTATTTTCAGTCCAAAGCCTCTCAGATCTTAGCGCTCTTTTTCGCGGCGGCATTCTTATAAAACTTTTGAGCACATAATAAACTGCCCGCTTGGCAGGCTCTATCCAAGATAGTTATCATTAGTCTATAAGCTACGCAAGTGAATCAATAAGAGGATCGACAATAAACCTTTTTCTCTCCTTTTCTGGGACGCATCGCCTGAGCAAATGATAAATTAACAAGGTGAGCTTCGCAATATGTGATTCTCTACTGAATGGTTTGAGTTAATGATCGACAACAAACCTTGTTCTTCCCTTTTCTCAGGTGCGTCACCTGAAAACAAGAGGCGAAAGACAAAGTTATCAACCGTCTTACAGAGCTTTTACTTAAAAACAATTCTGAAATGTAACCGGCATTACGATAGCAAGATAGCATGTCAGTTATACCTATTGTATTAGTGATTATTTTTTCATTGAATGTTTTGAGTTTATTGCCATGTTTTTTTTCTTGGCTTCTCATTTTCAAACTGTCCACTTCTCGGCTATTCTTAGGATGTTACGCAAAGCTCAATCGAGTTCCAATATAGCCACCATAATTTTCCATCCCAGGCGTCTTTGCGCTCTTTTTTGCGTCCTTGCAACTCTGACACACACGCCAAACACCTCACTCAGGAAGTTTTATTCCAATTATCATTTTTAGTCTATTAGCTATACAATTGAATATGAACCCATGGAGGGAACCAACCCCCCCCCCCCCCCCAAGGAAACAGTGTAAACACGGGAAATAACTTTTTACATAGACATAATTTTAAAATGCAGACATTACAATAGGCAAGCTTAAGAAAATAGTATATAAATAAATATCAAAATCATATCTACTTTACATAAATATCAAAAAAAATCATTTTAATCAGTAACCTTGATTATGTCTAAGGAATAATCCTCCTTCTTTACCTGAAAACAAGCAAGTAAGAATTTAGTAAGCTGAAATTCGCAGTGATGCAAGACTTGTAGACAAAATCTGACAGCAAAACCAACTGGGGCGAGCCCTGGCAGAGGACAAAATGATCGATTTTCTTAACAGTACTTTGCAAATTTGGCGAATACATTCTTGCGAATAACTCGCTTCCAAACCTCAAGCATGGTGTTAATCATTTATCAGGTAGGTGATTCTTTATTAATGACATGCATGTTTTTTATGCATTCCTATATTTTGACTCTTATTTTCACGCAAATTTCTTATGAAGCTCCTAGTACGCTGCCATTATTCTCAGTCCCAAGCCCCTCAGGTCTTTTTGCTCTTTTTCGCTGCGGCATTCTCATAAAATTTTGGAGCACATAATAAACCACCCGCTTGGCAGGCTTTATTCAAGATATTTATCTTTAGTCTATAAGCTACGCAAGTGAATCAATAAGAGGATCGACAATAAACCTTTTTCTCTCCTTCTCTGGGACGCATCGCCTGAAAACGAGCAAATGATAAATTAACAAGGTGAGCTTCGCAATGATGCAATGATCCAAGACTTGAAGACAAAATCTGGTGGCAAAAACCGCAAGGATAAGCCACGGCGGAGGAGAAAATGATCATTTGTCTTAACAGAGTTTTACAAATATGACTGAAACATATTTGCCAATGACTAATTCACATACCTAACATGTGGTGTAAAACCTCGGTGATATATGTGATTCTCTATTGAATGGTTTGAGTTAACACTTATGTTTTTTCTCGGTCTCACATGATCATACTCTCACTATGCAAGGGAAGATCCTCCATAACTTAACTACAATCAGTTCAACTGCACACATTACAGCAGAAATGCTTAAAACAATAATGTATACTTTAAATTATCAAAATGGTATGTACATTAAATTAACAGCGAAAACAAATAACTTGAATAAGCAACCTGAAAGTTTTCTGATGTATCCTCTTCGCTGGACCTCCTTCCCTTCAGCTGAAAAAAAGCAGATAAGAAATCAATATTGCTCACCTTCGGAATAATTCAAGACTTGCGGATTAAATTTCAAATTGAGTTTTGAGACCACTAGATCTCCACTTGAAAAAGGGTCACCATTATCTTCAAAATTCTTGCTCTCCGTTCTCCTCACCAGCTTTTCTACATTTCTTTGTTACTAACCCAGGAGATTGTTCTGTTTTATGAAGGCAACATCCTGTAGCAGTTAAGTTTGTCTATTTTCACCACCTACTTGCTAGATATTGTATTGATACTGAAAAAAGAAGTTAGAAGTCAGTCAATTCCGGGAGACAAAGAAAATTCTTGTACCTGATACAAAACAATCCATGAAAAACAAAGCCACCATGCAGAGCAACAAAAATGTGGGTATCTTCATCTTTATCTTGCGTTTGCTACTTTGAATACTAAAGAAAAAAAACCCAGAAAAACAATTAAGCAAAACCGATATGGCTTTATGTGGAAGAGAGACTTCAGTGCGCTACAAAGCTAATTACAAGAAAAGGCTAATCTACAGATTAACATATGGTATGAATACCCTGTGAATAACCTGATGTAGAGGACAGAGTAGAAATGTCTAGCGCATGTCAAGATCTTTAGCGGGCTCACGTGTGAAACCATTGCAGGATTATAATAAAATGGCAAATTTTGCAGAAAATAAAGATAGGCGTGGTTTTTTTTTTGCCTAAGTTAAGACGCAAGAAAACATGACTGAAAGTCTAGCAACAGAGCGTTCTTTAACAGGAGTGCGAAATATTATTTGAAAACCATATTTTGTCCTTTGAATGAAATTTTAAGCGATAAAAATGAAAAAGTCTTATGTTCAGTAATAAGGTGTTTCTTGAAAAAAAGACCGATATTAACAACAGCTCGTATACTACGAAGAATAGCAGGTAATTTAGTGTTAACAACTGGGTTGAAAACGTAAATTAGCCACCGTAAAGGGTAAAAAAGCTGACGTTTCGAGCGTTAGCCCTTCGTCAGAGCGATTGGCGAAGGGCTAACGCTCGAAACGTCAGCTTTTTTACCCTTTACGGTGGCTAATTTACGTTTTCAACCCAGTTGTTAACACTAAATTACCTGCTATACTCTCCCACCGACGCAGCACCACAGTTTCTTTAGAAACTTACCCCTTTACTACGAAGAATAGTTTTAGCCAAGGAAATGATCTATTTAACCAACTTTACGCCTTTGTAAACAAGAGTTCAGCCCTGGATATCTTATACCTCCTGACAGGAAAAATGTGAAAAGAACGGCCTCATGGAGAGAAGAAAGCAGCTTACTTTGCACACCTTGTCACAAGATTCTGTAACCCTCTTGAAGTCTTCTTCTCGGACGGGAATGAGTAACTAATGATCAAATTAGGGAGTTTGCAGCTCTTTTATGCGATTTCCAAACAAAGAAGAGTTACTATTCTTGGCCGGAAAGCGCTTTAGGCGAGGCAAAACAATAGAATTTGCTCTTCTTGTAGACACAATCACACTTCAGTAACTAAAAAGGGTGACTAGACATGAGTTTTCTTACACGATAATCTTGATCAAGATGAAATTTACGAATTAATCTAAATATATTTCAAATTTTAGTAAATGCGTTATTCACAGTCCATGATTGGAAAGGTACAGTTCAAGATGTAACCTATAGAAACCATTTCTGCCACTGCAAACAGTTGGATTGCCAGAGGTCAGAAGACGTAAATAGGAAAAGTCGAATTAATTCGAGGGCTTAAGAGTAGAGCTTCTTTTTCTATCACATAGATATTTATCACACATACGTTAATGCTTAGTCTTTATCAAAAAAATACATATATCTATGAAATATCAGAATATCTACTTTTATAGGATGATATCTGCGTGCATTGGACATGATTCATTCTCGCTATCTTCATACGAAAAGATATCTGTGTCGTCATGGTAATCGATCCTTTGAACGTGGCGGTTTTCATAAACGTGGCAGTTTTTTTTTATGAACGCGGTGGCTTTTCTTTTCGCTTATACTTTTTTGAAAGCTCACCAACTTAAGTAAGCTGTCATAGAAAGGGTAATCAAAATTAAAATTCTCTTCACGTCCATATATCTAACCCCAATTTAGACCCTTGACCAAGGCTGTGACCCAAGTTTCACTTAGAGGAAACGACTGAATAAGGAGCCTGGGAGGGGAAGGAATTTTGACTTAGAATTTCGCGAGCATAAGCTTTGTTTCCATCATAAAGATATTGATTAAATACCACAATTTCTCCTTTTTCGTAGGATAAGATCTTCTCCATGCGTAATAAGTTTATAAACACGGTGGTATTTCTCTTTATGAACAGTTTTTTCTTAATTTTAGGCTGAATCTTATTCAGTCCCAATGTCAATCAAAAAAACTGACGAACGGTATCTTAGCGTAAAGGCCTTGTCAAAGTATGCTTTCGTCTAAGTGGAGTGAATAGTGGTTTAAAGGTAAAAGGTTTTTGTTAGTTATACAAGTTTCCCACTTTTTGTCCGAAGAGTTTCTCCAAAATAGAAACTGATGGTCAAGATACTCAGATAATAGTACCTTGCAGCGCCAATTATTCTAGTAATGGGGTCAGAATGAACGCTGGGATTGGCCAACCCTGTACGTACCAAGTCCCTCAAGGGACGTGCAGTTTACGTTAAGCGTGTTTTCCTTCGCTAAACCCAATCGATCTATAATTCACGTGCACCTCTGAACAAAAAACATGTTTTTAGCTCCGATATTTCGGATCGGTTTGAAGACGGAAGTTCTCTTTTAACATGCCCACCTATATCTAACTTGTAACAAGCACGTGCACAGTCAGGGTCGATAAAATGTCAAGTTATACGAAACATAACAAACAATGAGGCCATCGTAAATCTGCATGAATAATCAAAATACCAATATTTTACTTCATAACAAAACTCTGCTCTCCAAGAAGCTGCTCCAATTCCAACACAAATGTAAAACAGTTCCATAGCATTGAAACTTATCTTCGAAGTAAATAACTTGATTTCAGCCTTACTAGTGTCAGTGAAAAAAGTAAAAAAAATAAAAAGCATTCGCGAGAAGAAAAGCCACCGCGTTCATAAAAAACAACAACAGACAACTATCAGGTTGATTATTCAATTTATTTGTTTTCGCTGTTTATTTAATGTACATATCATTTTGATAATTTAAAGTATACATTATTGTTTTAAGCATTTCTGCTGTAATGTGTGCAGTTGAACTGATTGTAGTTAAGGTATGGAGGATTTTCCCTTGCACAGCGAGAGTATGATCAAGTAAGGTCAAGAAAAACATAAATATTGATTCAAAACATTTAATAGAGAATCACATATACCACCGAGGTTTTGCACCACATGTTAGATATGTGAGTTATTTGCAAATATGCCTCAGTCATAGTTGCAGAGCTCTAATAAGACAACTGACCATTTTGTCCTCCGCCGTGTCTCATCCTAGTGGTTTTTGCCATTGTATTTTGTCTACAAGTCTTGGATCATTGCGAAGCTCACCTTGTTAAATTATCGTTTGCTTGTTTTCGGATGATGCGTCCGAAACAGAAGGGAAGGAAAAGGTTGATTGTCGATCCTCTTTTTCACTTGCATAGCTTGTAGGCTAACGATTAATAACTTGAAGAAAGCCTGCAAAGCAGGCGGTTTATAATGTGCTTTAAAGTTTTCTAAGAATGCTGCGCCGAAAATTAAAAATTAAATTAAGCATAACTCATGATTTGCTAGTTGCTAATTAGTGGTATCGCAATAATAGCATGATTATCAATGAAAACAAGCTGCAAGCAATAATATTGGGAACAACTGATCATACGTTTTCTTCTGCTGTCAAGCCCTCGATTGACGTATTTGTTGCGAGAATTGACAACAAATTTTGTTTCGATAACCATATATCTGCCATCTGCAAGAAGATAAACAATCAGTTTAGCCTTATGTTAAGACTTCATAAACTGATTTCTGATTGACTTCATGTTACCACATTTTCAATACTGCTTTACAGTTTGGCATCACTGTGGTGCACGTAATGCAGAAAAGTTAGAGGCTTTAACTAAACGCATACTCACATTACTTAAGGATTACAGCTCTTCCTATGACCAGCTACTTGACAAGGTCAACCTCAATTTTTTATGTTTGTGAGTATATGCGTATGTAAAAAAAACGCTGATACAATTGTGGTGGAAGCTGAAAATTTCATGAACAAAACGTTTTACCGCGAAATGTAAATAACATATTTCTCTTTAAATTTAAGTAACTTACAAGATATCTTGGTTTATTGTAATATTCGAATTCCATGTTATCCTCAGCCCATCGTGGAGCGAAAGAGGGTCTGCAAACATACACTTTTGAGAGCCTTTCAAGACTTTATAACAAAAAAGATCAAGGCTGTGCGAAACGGGATGGAAGGGTAAGTGTAACAACTTATTACAGACTTCTACATGAACCCGAAATAGAAGGTTTTAGTTGAAATTTAGTACTTTTCGGGATGTCTAAGGTAATTTTCACATTCCCACACAGATCAATGATCTCCTTGGCCCATCAGAGAAAGGCAAAAAATGGTTTGCCAACATACAATGTCATTAAAGAATTTGGGAGGCGTCTCCCACAAATACCATAAAGATCGAAGCCGCGCGAAAAAACACGCCCAGGTCCCTTGAGGGACCTGGTGCAGGGTTGGCCAATCCCAGCATTCATTTGGACGCATTATTAGCCGAGTCGCATATTCTTCGTTCATGTTTTCATAATTGACGTTCTTACTCGTCTGCTTCGCTCATTGGCAAAGACATTTTCAAGACGAATAGATACGTTTGTGTCTACGAGGCGATATTTAATTCAAAATTTATTATTTAAATACCAATTCCATATCAGTAAATCAAAAACACCGAAAGAACACCGGATGCAAAGATCAAAGGCACGTAAGAACTGCATGAAGAAAAGTTTCATACATACAAGACAAGCTCTCCACATAAAGCTTATTTTCTTTTAAAAAAGTCGATTTCAAATTAGAATATGTTGTTCAATCCGAAAAAAACGAAAAGAACGTTCGCGAAAAGCCGTGACACGTTCATAGACCCAATGACCATGATAACTTAGTCGAATTTACTTGTACAAATGTAATTGTTCAATAAATTGGAGGAATATTGGATTTTGATGAAGGAGTTTCAGAAATTTTGGTATTTCATTAATATCTGTACGATAGAAACGATTATTATATATTCAAGCGCTTGAAGTCATTGTTTTTGAAAGTCATCTTACCTCTGGCAAAACAGCTGTTTTCATTAACGAAGAAGATTGTTACTAGTTACATCATTGTTTTTGAAAGTCATCTTACCTCTGGCAAAACAGCTGTTTACATCATTTTAACAAAATGGCCATTTCAAATGGCATTTATGCTCAGTCGAAGTGAAATGTGATCAAAAGAGAAGTGCTTTAGATGGTTATGCTAGGAACCCTGAGTTTTCCCACTTCCTTACCTCGGGCGTTTCTCCAAAATGTGAACTGATATTCGATATACATTATGAACAGAACATGATTGCACGTGAACATGACTGTTAATTTATGTTCGAGCTTTGTTACGCTAAAGTCTCTCACTTGTTCGTAAAATCAACTCTCACTTCATTTTTTTTTAACAGCAGCCGACTCTATAATCAACAGATCGCTTATCAAGACACCTCTTATGGAAAACTTGGCAAGGACTGGCCGTTTCATTTCAGAAATGAGGAGAGCCACGTCGACAACACTGAATAACGTCTGCGCATGCCACTTTCTCGTATCTGAATACATGGCAACAGAATACATCAGTTGATGTGCCCCCAATTTTGGACAATTTAGACCGTTGATATCCTCTATCAACTCAAACAACTAACAAACAAACTTCAGTAGACACCTATCGCTTAAGACTTTCCGCCATATGCACATAACACCATATTTGTAGCACAACCTGTGTGCCCAAGCTGCATTTTTGCGATAAAAAAATGGTGTTCAAATTTTATTTTGCTTCCCTGTTAAAAAACGGTCTATTTCGAAATTTTGTAGCTCCTCTTTTCGTCTTAGGTCTTAATAGCATCGCTTTTAGTTTTCTCCAAAATTTCACTATCATGTGGGCAAATATGCACGTGGTGAAGTAATGTACCATTGTACGTGGAAATCGTTGTTTAGGCAGCGGGAGCGAAACAGTTTCTTTTTCTGTACTCGTAGTTCAGAATCATAATGGCCGAAAAACGCTATCGCTACACGTATGGATATTTTTTATTAATTAAAAAATATACAACGTTTGTACAGCAGATGCATCAACTTACTACGCTTTAAAAAATTCGTCGACATACAGATGCGTGTGGACGTGTACGTATTTGCGACATTTAGACAGGCTGGCCCGGTTCAGCTCAGAGCTGGTTTGAATGAGGGCCTGTGTAAACATTGACAAGGCCAGACCACAACACTGGGACCAACGCTCCTTACTCTTTATAAAAGTGCGTAAGTCCTTAAACGTCCCCTGCTAACCAGTACAGAGAAGATGCAGGAGACGGGGCTTACAATTTATCGTAGAATAGAATATCTATCCATTTGCCGATGTCATAACAAAGGCAGCACATTCTCCTCAGTTTTTTTTTAGTCCCTAAGTGTTGGTCCAGTCTAAGATTTGAACCCTCGACCTTCCGCGCGTCAGTCCGGCGCTGTATGACGTGCGGCTAACCAAGGGCGGTTATCATAAATGTCAACGTGATCATAAAAGTCATGCCCACCGGCGTCCGTGTTTACCATTTTCAATTTATCTGAAGCTAAATATCAGCTTCCTTTTTCGGAGAAACGCTCCAGGCTAGAAAGTAAGAAACACAGGCTTCTTTCTAAACAGAAAGCGCAATTTTACATGAGCATTATGATAAAATAACATTGATTGGTATATTATGTGATGTATGCCACTCGGAGTAAGTCAAATTGTTTTTGGAATTCATCTGACCACTGGCAACACAAATGTTTGCTTTAACGAAGATGATAGCTGTAGCTAACAGCAATTACCTTCGTTAAAGCAAACATTTGTGTTGCCAGAGGTCAGATGAATTTCAAAAACAATGGTTCGTGCGCTTATGGGTATGATATTGGTTTCTATCACGTAGATATTGATGAAACACCACAATTCCTCCTCGAATATAGTACATTTGACTACGAAGACGATCCGAGAAGGTGTGACTAAAGGAAGAAATCGCTTGCCGTTACTGAGTCGTTCTCTCTAAAGGATCTTCAACCTGAGCTTAGCTTCAAACTTGCAACTAAGACAGACAGAGCAGGAAAGATTAACAGAGTTTAATGTCCTTTCACCGTTAGAGATTTTTATACTTATACATAGAAGTATATATACATATATAGTATTAATTTACACTGGGAGAGAAACGAATATCATACTCTCAGGTCTACGATTTTTTTAGACTTTTAACTTACGTCATTTGACCTCTGGCAACACGACTGTTTGCAGCGACAGCAATCGTTTCTCTTAGTAACGTCTCGGGTTGGACCTTTTTCAATCACATTTTGAAAATAACATCTGAAATATACTTAGATTCTTCATTTTTATCATGATCAAGTTTAACATAAAATGAAACTCAAGTCCATCACCCTTCCTGGGCACGGAAGTGTGATCGTGACTATGGCATAAAATGCGTCGCCTCAAGCACTTTTAAAAAAAATGACTTTTTTTTGCATCTAAAATCACTTTAAAAAGCGGCAAACATTCTTGTTTGATCATAAGTTACTCATTCTCGTCCGAGCTGCTGCGAAGAATTCGAGAGGCTTTCAGAATCTTGTGACAAGGCGTGTAAAGTAAGTTGCTTTCTTCATTCCATGCGGCTGTTCTTCCACAATTTTCTTAGCTTTTTCTTACTAGTAGAGAATGGATATCCAGGGCTGAACTCTAGATTACAAAGGCGTAAAGATCTACTTAAATAGAACATTTCCTTAACTAAAACCATCCTTCCTAATAGTATGAGCTGTTGTTGGAATTAACTCGGCCCGCTTATCAAGACACGCCTTATTTACACGAGAGTATCTAATTTTTATTACTTCAAACTTTTTTCAAAGCCCTTCATGAAATTTCCGAGTTTTTTGCAAGATCAATTGACTGCCCTGTTCTTCACAATATTTTTCAGTTCGGTGTCACTTCTTTTTCTTCCCCGTCAATCTCTTGGAGTAGTTTAAGAAAAGAAAAATACTGTCAGCCTTCGGACATAGGGACGGAGAAAGCAAGAAGCGTTGACGAATGTTACCTGTCGCCCCTGTACGCTCTTACGAAGAACGCACTGAGAAATTGGCCTTTCAATTTTAAGGATGACAAGCCTCGTCGAAAGTGCTGAATAACGTCTGCGCATGTCATAATCTCACTTCTGTAACCATAACAACAGAGAAGACTAAACGATGTGGCGACAATTTTTAAAATTTAAAATTTTGATATCCTCTTTCCTCTTATAAAACGACTTGTTGGCAAACTAGAGCTGACTACCCTCCTTAAGGAACACCCACCACTCATTGATATTTCACGTTTTCCGTTTGGTTTTGTCAATTCAATACAGCGAAAGCAAGATAAACATGAAAATGTCCACAGTTTTGGTGCTTTGTATCGTGGCAATGTGTGCCATGGACTTCTTTGTGACAGGTAAAATAATTTTTCAACTCTGAAACTCGCAGAAAAAGGCGACTTGTAACTTCTCTTTGCAACATTTATATATTTTCTAGCGAGAAGATAATTAAAATAGACAGACTAACCAGGTATAGGATGTTACTTTGCTATTTAGGAGTAGAAAGAAAATATATAATGGGGAGAAGAGTTATGAGGCAAAAGTCGGGAGAACAAGGACGGGTAACCTGTTTTCGATCGGAAATCTAGTGTTTTTTTAAAAGAAATGATTAGCAAATCTACCCGCGAATCTGAGCTTATTGAATTTTCACCTACTTGTTTTCAGCTGGCAAAATTGAGGCTGAGCGAAGACAATTTGGCAGACTCGCGAGATTGAAAGGTTGCATCTCACGTTAATATCATTTTAAAACTTTAAAGTGTGTATTATTATTTTTAAGAATTTCAATCTATACGTGTGCTAAGGAAGAGACAAGTCTAAATGAGATGAAGAAAAAAATAGGCAAATATATATATAAACAATGAATAAACAATGAAAAATACAACAGACAATAAACATTATCCCAATATTTCAGGTTTCACGCAAACAATTTTGTCTGTCACCGAGCCTCTACTATCAGAATTCGTCCACAAGTCTTGCATCATCGCAAAGCTAAGATTACTAAACTAATATTTTATTGTTTTCAGGTGAAGGAATGCCTGCCGAAAGAAGGGGAGAGACAGGTTCATCGTCGATTCATTTGTTCACTTGCATAGCTTGCATGTTGACTTAAAAAAGGGTATCTGTTAAGAAAATCGGATAATATTTCATCCGATGTGCCTCATGCCTTTAAATTTGGCTATAAAATTCTCCATAAGTCTTAAATCATTGCGAAAACAAATTTTCCAACTTATTATTTAATTGTTTTCAGCTGAAGCAATGGCGGCCGAAAGAAGGGCACAACCAGATGAAATTCCTATCCACTTGTTCACTTGCATAGCTTGTTGACTTATAATTTGTAATTAATAGTTAATAATTATTGATTGTTTAGACAATTGATAATTATTATCTTGCTGTGCCTCATGCTTTTTTTAAGTTTTTTTTTTTATCAATAATTGTCACAAGTCTTTGATGAGTGCGAAAACAAATTTGCTAAATTATTATTTGATTGTTTTCAGCTGAAGCATGGGTGGCCGAAAGAAGGGAACAACCAGGTGAAATTCCTATCCACTTGTCTAATTGCAAAGCTTGTTGACTTATAATTCGTAATTAATAATTATTGATTGTTTAGACAATTAATAATTTTTATCTGTTGTGCCTCGTGCTTTTTTTAATTTTTTTTTTATCAATAATTGTCACAAGTGTTTGATCAGTGCGAAAACAAATTTACTAAATTATTATTTGATTATTTTCAGCTGAAGGAATGCCGGCCGATAGAAGGGAACAACCAGGTGAAATTCCTATCCTCTTGTTTAATTGCATAGCTTGTTGACTTATAATTAGTAATTAATAATTAGTAATTATTGATTGTTTAGACAATTGATTGTTTTTATCTTGCCGGGCCTCATGTTTTTTTTTAAGTTTTCTTTTTATCAATAAATGTCACAAGTCTTTGATCAGCGCGAAAACAAATTTGCTAAATTATTATTTGATTGTTTTCAGCTAAAGCATGGGTGGCCGAAAGAAGGGAACAACCAGGTGAAATTCCTATCCACTTGTCTAATTGCAAAGCTTGTTGACTTATAATTCGTAATTAATAATTATTGATTGTTTAGACAATTAATAATTTTTATCTGTTGTACCTCGTGCTTTTTTTAATTTTTTTTTTTTTATCAATAAATGTCACAAGTGTTTGATCAGTGCGAAAACAAATTTACTAAATTATTATTTGATTATTTTCAGCTGAAGGAATGCCGGCCGATAGAAGGGAACAACCAGGTGAAATTCCTATCCTCTTGTTTAATTGCATAGCTTGTTGACTTACAATTAGTAATTAATAATTAGTAATTATTGATTGTTTAGACAATTGATTATTTTTATCTTGCTGGGCCTCATGTTTTTTTTAAGTTTTCTTTTTATCAATAAATGTCACAAGTCTTTGATCAGCGCGAAAACAAATTTGCATAATTATTATTTGATTGTTTTCAGCTAAAGCATGGGTGGCCGAAAGAAGGGAACAACCAGGTGAAATTCCTATCCCCTTGTCTAATTGCAAAGCTTGTTGACTTATGAATAGTAATTAATAATTAATAATTATTGATTGTTTAGACAATTAATAATTTTTATCTTGCTGTGCCGCATGCTTTTTTTAAGGTTTTTTTTATCAATAAATGTGACAAGTCTCTGATCAGTGCGAAAACAAATTTACTAAATTATTAGTTGATTGTTTTCAGCTGAAGCAATGGCGGCCGAAAGAAGGGAACAACCAGGTGAAATTCCTATCCACTTGTTCACTTGCATAGCTTGTTGACGTATAAATAGTAATTAATAATTAATAATTATTGATTGTTTAGACAATTGCCGATTGTTTAGACACGGCCGAAAGTTTTTTTTTTATCAATAATTGTCACAAGGCTTTGATCAGTGCGAAAACAAATTTACTAAATTATTATTTGATTGTTTTCAGCCAAAGCATGGGTGGCCGAAAGAAGGGAACAACCAGGTGAAATTCCTATCCACTTGTTCACTTGCATAGCTTGTTGACTTATAAATAGTAATTAATAATTAATAATTATTGTTTGTTTAGACAATTGATAATTTTTATCTTGCTGTGCCTCGTGCTTGTTCTAAGTTTTTTTTTTTTTATCAATAATTGTCACAAGTCTTTGATAAGTGCGAAAACAAATTTACTAAATTATTATTTGATTGTTTTCAGCTGAAGCAATGGCGGCCGAAAGAAGGGAACAACCAGGTGAAATTCCTATCCACTTGTTCACTTGCATAGTTAGTTGACTAATGATTAATAACCTGAATAATGAGGGCTGTTTAGAAAATGGATAGTTTTTTTGTCGCTTTGCCTGAAAATATTTCCTCCGCTGTGCCTCGTGCCTTTATTTTTCGCTAAGAAAATTTGTCCACAAGTCTTTTAACATTGTAAATTTAAGCTTATTAAAATTTTTACTTGGTTGTTTTCAGGTGAAGGAATGCCGGGCTATTGAACGGGACAAAAAGGTTCATTTTCGATCCACTTGTTTACTTGCATCACTTGTTGACTATGAATTAATAACGATGTCTGTTAGACAATAGCTAATTTTTCCTCCGCCGTGCCTCGTGCCTTGAAGTTAATCTATAATCCTGGCGAAACTAAGCTTACCAAATTATTATTTAATTGTTCAGTTTCAGGTGAAGAGGTGCCGGCCGAAAGAAGGTAAGGAAACACATCATTGTGGAAAATACATTACAAATGATGCCTTGCAAGGTTAAAATTGAAAAAACATCAAAAAAGCCACAAGAATCTAAGCGAAACGAGCGTGCTTAGGAGCGTCGAAGATTTGCTTGGGTTATACGGACAAACTTCAATCCCCTTAAATAGCCGTCATTGTGTTACTCAAGATCATTTTTCTGTTTATATTTGCAGTATTTACAGCACCCATGGCAAGTAGCTTGGAGGAGGGATCAGCAGAAATGTTTCTGTAGTAAATATTGCCATAACCGTAATAAAGACTAATTGCTGAATAGAAGTGGCTTTATTTGACTGTGCAATGTTAATTTCAAGGGAATGTATGTTCCAAAAGGAAACGATTTGTGTCTTCGCCATACAAAAGAATTAAGGAATTTTGACGCTACGGCAGTGTGGAATTCTAAAGAGTAACCTAGCCCTTAAAATTTGTCTCAAAATACACCAAACATTCGGTTACAGACGTCTCCATTTTGAATTTTGCTAAGCAGCCCGGCCGCCCTTACCTGTGATCTAAAAACGTCCCACCCATCTGTCTCCTATTTCCTGGCGATCTCTTTGAACAAAAATATTTATTTAGTAACAATCAGAGCAGCTGCTGTTTATAAACCACACGTTATGGTCTTTTTGTACAAAACTGGTAGCCTTGAACCGGATTGGGTATTCCATCCAAGGAACGTCCCGAAGTTCCACTAGTTACATGGAAAGAAAAACCAAATAATCGTTGTAATTAGCATAGCTTCATATTCGTAGTCAAGACCACGAACCGAAGTAGTCACGTCGACCTGTCAGCAAATTTTTACCAACCCTGTATGACCCTTTGTGTCTCGAAAATGTTTTCTGAAATGTTTCCCCCCCCTTAACACTCGTCTCCAATCTTCCCACGGGCCGAGAAACGTGCGTCCTGCAGCGCTAATGAGGACCTGCTCACAGGCTATAGAATAATCATTTACACAAGCACAAGTACCGCAGACTTTGCAGATGACCTGGCGCTGCTTTCTCACGGCCAACATCAGATGCAAAATTAGACCACAGTGCTAAGAGCCACCTCTACACAAATTGGCCTTAAGATACATCAGGAAAAGACCAAGATCCTCAAAATCAACACCAGCATCCCAGAACCAAAATCTCTGGATAGGGAAACCACTAAAGAAGGTGGAAACATTTGTTTATCTAGGTAGCACTATCGCTAGGCAAGGTGGCACAGACGCAGACGTCATAGCACGAATCGGCAAGGCCACAGCCTCCTTTATACAGCAAAAAATCATCAGGGGCTCCAAGGAGATAAAAAAGAGGACCAAGATCAGACTGTTCTACTCCAATGTCAAGTCAGTCTGTATGGAGCAGAAACCTTGAGGCAGACCCACCAAATACCAGCAGAAGATGAAATCAGAAGGTGAAGATGAAAATGGATAGGGCACACCCTTTGCAAAACAACACAAAGTGTTACAAGACAGGCCCTCTGCTTGAATCCCCAGGGTAAGAGAAAGAGAGAGCGACCAAGGAACACTTAGCGTCGTGATCTTGAGGTTGACATCAGAAAGACCGGCCACTTATGGCCCAGAACAGAGGTCTCTGGCGGACTATTTTTCATGGCATATGCCCCAGTAGGAGCGATAAGCTTAGATAGAAAGATAGAAGTACAGCTGCGTTTATTGGAATATTGTTAGAAAAAATAAATTAGGGTGGGACATTAAAACTTTACGAACTCTGAGGGCCTCACTGAAAACCGTCATGGCGAGCAAGGCCTCCTCATTAAGTAGTATCATTATCATTACAATTATGATTATTACTATAATTATCATCATCATTATTATTATTCACCCAATCGTGTCCTGGTCAATCGCGCTTCTCCGCGCCCCAGGAAGTTTGCTCGTTTTTTTTTTTTTTTTTAAACTTTGAGTTCTCATTTGTTCCTTGTGATAATTGCCTTTTTTCTGATTGGCTGCACTGATAACGTTAGTTTTGGTTAAACGGGACTAAATCAAAATTCACTCTATTGTAGTTTTATATTGTTCTCAGGGAGTCTGCAGAGTTGATCCCCAGGGAACAAATCTACCAATGGCGAGCCTGGCGGTGTAAGGTGTTTCTCCAGCTCCGATACGTTCATTTCAGTCTGGTTGAGCCATTTTCGATCCCTGGCATTGTTACTAATGACCGCAAAAGACTCTGCTCTTTGGACTCTTGTATCGTTAGACTCCTTCCATACACAGCAACCCGCTGTCCAGACAGCACGGGGTATGGCAAGATTTACGCCATCGAGGACCACTTTTGAATGAAATGATTCTCCGTTTTCCTCAAGATAATTTGCAAGGCTACATTCCGAGGATCCGGTTAGTAAGAACAAAGTTCCATGGCGGGCTCGACCTCCACACATACCTGCAGCGTAGCGGCGGATTTTAGCCTCAAAAATCTGCCAAGGTCCGCTGTTAGATGCAACGTATTGTGGGATTGTATTAGTGAGGGTGAATGTAGCTTTCATGAAATTTATATCAAATGTGTTTATGGCGACAGGATTCATGTGCCCCCTGCTGAGAGGCTCTTGTTGTATCGCTCTTTTGTAGGCATTGTTCAAACCAGGGACACCTGGAAGAGAGAGGTATTCAAAGTATTCTGCTACTTGTTTATGGAGAATTTACTGAAAAAAAATAGATAAATAACTAACAAATTTTCAGCTCCGTTGTCTGTGCTCTGGGGACACTGGATTGTTGGTGTCGTAAGTGATAACTTATATTTTGCTGGATAATATGCGTCGCAGCTATAACGGAGTCGGAAGAAACTGGACCCGTTCTGATTCTTCCAGCCCGCTGAGATTCCTTCAAGATAATCACACTTTTTTTTTATTTTCACTTGGTTGGAAGCGCTCTCACGACTCCAACAACGACTCCAGGTACGATTCCGCCGCAGGTGAAACTACCCCTGAGTGAAAAAATCAAAGACTCGTAAATATCACAAGAGTAATACCTGGAGGATTCCTAAATTTTCTTCTTTTTACGTCTCTTCGGCTGTATTTTCCAATGAAGGGCGCTTGCTGTGCAGTCACTTTGTATGCGGAATAAAAGGGGATATTTCTGTCCGGGTCAAACAGCGAAATAAAGTAGGGATGAGTTCCTGGGGGATCCTCAGGAAGTAACTGACGAATTTCTTGTCCCCGAGTGATACCTGGAAGACCCTCTGGATGTCTGTTCCCGGCGAAAAATGGTGGCGACGGGGCCTTACATTGCCTGCGATGAAGAGCCTCGTAACGAGTTTCTTAACATAAAACAAACAAAACAAGACTGAAAAACAGTTTCAGTTGAGGGGATGCAGTGATAAGGGCGGGGATATTTTTTTGAAAAGATCTCTATAAGGAGATTTAATGATGTTATTCCATTCTTTCTTTTTTCATTTTAAAAGTGATTTTATTCTTCCTGTTGGGAGACACGATGGCCTCATAGTTGGTATGCTGACTCCTAGCCGAAATGTCCGTGTTCAAGACCAGGCGTCCGTTTCTCGAAGGTTCCGGTAATTTAACGGGCCCGTAAAGCTGTTCTATTTTCCTTCAAGATGGGGATTTCCAATGTTTTAAAAAAAATTGTACAACAAAACTATCAGCTAAAAAAACAAAATGGACTGGTTAGGCTGACTAAACCTGCTTCTCTTAACTTTAGATTTCTATTTCAAAATATGACTTCAAGCCCTGTTCGTGACCGGAACTTTTGAGAATGGGCCCCTGGCCCGGGTCGTTGTGCTGTGTTCTTGAGCACAGCATTTTACTCTCACTCAGGCTTTTACTCTTACTCAAGCTTCATTTTATTGTCACATAGCCTCTCTCCAGCCTGAGAGGAAGCTCTCCAGCTGATACACCCCACAATAGCGCTTGCCAGCAGGGTAGACGAAATGCAGGGGAGAGGGAGTGGCTTTATGTTACAGTAACCCAGTAAGTCTCGAGTAGAAATGGTAGATTGCAGAATTTACCTTCATTTATATACTCTCTGGCTTCAGAAACTTGGTTGGATAATGCAAACACTAACAGCACCACACGAATAATTGAAAATGGCCAAACATCTCCTATGTAAAGCATCGTAGCGTGCTATTAAACGCAGTCAGTTGCAGTTTCTGTCAAAAAAAAAGGAGAATAATTGATAAAAATAAAGCGGAATAAATCGGTAAACAAGACGAATGACTGAATCAGTAGAACAAGGAACCTGCTGGCTTAAAAAGGACAAAAAAAACCTGCTTTTGGCGTGGCGAGCTCAACGAGAATTCAACAATTCATTCTAGAAGTGACCAGAAAGTGCAATTACTCACCACTAAATCACAAGCTATGCAAGTCATTCTTTCAATAATAAAGTTTCTTTCCAAACCTTTCGTTCCACGTTGTTTCCGTGTGAAATTAATATCGTTTTGATATTACAACCCGCAATCCATAGCGCAATAGAAGGTTTCTTAAAGGAAAAAAGCCTCTGACTTGGTTCTTAGCTTCACGGAAGGCACTGATATATATTCAAGATGCAGTCGAAAATTGTTGTTATCCGCCATTTTGAATCGTTATGCGGATTACCGCTGTACTTCAAGTCCCAGACTCCCTCCCCGGTTAGTCTCCTTTCCGTTCTCTATTTCCTGTTCCCGTTCTCCGTTTCCCGAGACCAATTTCAGTTAGGTTTTCACAACACCCAGACGCTTTGCAGATTGGAAAAGTAGTTTTCAATCAACAGCCACCTCCCCACTTTTCACGTGTTCATCACATCTTTATGTTTAAATGTGACCAAAAACTTAATTGTGAGGAGTCTTTTCTCATCCAAAATAGACAAAAACAATTGTGCAGGCGCGTAATACTAGAGGAAGGTTAGAATTCTGATGCGTAAGTATGCAATAGCGAGTGTAGAGTATATCCTGAGTATACCCTTGTCTAAAATCGGTTGAAAGTGAAAGGGACCTCCATTTACGATGAATAAACATAAGAATACATTGTCTCGCAGTACAACTTCCTGCCCCAACAAATGATTTGCAAAAGCTTAAATTTTTAATTTTTTTTAGCTAAATGAAACGTTAATATGTACAAAGATACGCAAGTGCAAGACAGTGTGGACCTTATAACGTACAAAAGTCAATTTTCATCACAAAAATGTTGTGAAACGACACTGGCAAGCTGGACCTTAATAAATTTATGCATAAAATCAAGTATTTGTCCTTTATACGACGGCTCGCTCACGGGATTCCCTAAGCTTTCACATAATAATAAATAAAGATAGCTATTTTCATTAAGCATCTGCTTCAATAGATCGAACAAATACTCTTACCGGTTCTATCCAGAAAGGACGATCGAGTAAGATAGTTGGGCAACCACCGGCCGTTCTCGAAGTTCGAAAGTTATGAAAATTAATATCCATAAGTCAAAGGTGGGTCTTAACGTGTCAACACGCCTCCCGAAAGCCTGCTTCGTTTGTGGGCACTGGGTTCAAATGGGAAAGCGGGCTTTATTTTAAATGAATTTCGTAATAGAAGTATCAAAAAAACGGTTTGTTAAACAGTCAAGGGAGTAACATAATCAACTGAAAACGACTTAAGATGGGTCTTACAAACGGTGGGTCATGATCAGAACATAGTTGGATCAGCATTGTTACGAGTTGCGATCCTACTTGGGTCATGCCTAGATACATTCGATTTAAAAACCGCAGACCGCCAGTGTCTCGCTTCCTTTTCAGTTTCTCCGCTCCTCCTTTTCTTTTCTTCCCTTATTCCTTACAGGAATCAGTCGATCTGCTTGAATTAAAGACGTTTTTGAAGGTCTTGCGGATTGACTTGCATCAAAAAAAAAAAAAAAATTAAAAAAAAAAAATCCCACGCACCATCCGCCTACCCTATGATCCATAGATTATGTGGTCGGTATCCTCCAGAAATGAAATCATTAAGTTGGTTTAAATAAACAATATTATAAAGCAGAAAGTGGAATTTAGCCTCGAGTGATGAAAATAACACCGCGTGAGGAAAAATGGGATCAAAGAGATCAATAAAAAATAGTGTAACTTTTCCTAAATACTAACTCAGCAAATCAACCGAAAGGTCATGAAACATAAAAAGGTGCCATGTACTCAGTACGCTTTCCTAATGATATTACAGGACTTGAAACTGAAATTGAATTTTAAAAAGTTACAGGCTTGAAATGACATCACCGAAAGTAAATATCCCGTGCATCCAATGTGCCTTTAGAAAATGATCAGTGGGTTGATCGAGGAAAAACGCATCGCTAATGCGTTTAGCTGATTGAAATAGAAATTATTAGCGTCTTTGGACCTCTTTGAGATATTTATGAATTACCCCGCACAAATAGGCTCACTTCCGGGCGCTAAAACGCCATATTTGGAAGGAGTATTATCCTCTTGTACTTTGACCAATCACAGCAAGGATTACACTGAGCTCTTTGAAGCCATGTTGGTGTAAGCGTGGAGGAAGTTTAAGGCACGCTTTGTTGTTGTGTTTCAGTTTTGAATTTCTCCTTGATTCGTCTGCCATCGAAGGGTTTTTAGTCGAAGGGGGAGTGTGGTTTGGTCCGCTTTCGTGAACCCGTCCAAACGCAGATCGCGTTAGAATGTCTCGCCGTTATGACATGACTCATTACTCCTAAGATTGCACTCATTACTCTAAACCCAAAGAAGACACAATTGCAGAACTGTTTATTGGTCTACTTGTTTTGGGTGACTCCAGAAACATTTGGCAAGTGTGTCAAGCAAGGTGAGATCATGAACATGTTTATATTTTAAAAAAAGTGTGGATTGGAAATACTTTGCCACCATGCCCCATTGAGAAGTGTAACATTATTCTTGTTTCGCTCAGTCTCAGTAGGACAGGTGCATTGTGTCCTTTGTCAAATGTTAATTTTTTTTTTTTGTAGCCAAAAGGTAAAGGCAAATCTCTCTATGACAATGTCTATGAATGCCTGAACTTGGAAGAAAGTCAATACTTTGGACTAAGTGTTTATGACAAAAATGATAATTTGGTAATTGCCTCATTGTTTTTATAACAAAGCAAGAGCTGCATCCTGGTGATATTGCATTCAATTTCGTATAAAAAATGAAAGGTACAAAGTATAAGAAAAAATTACTCAATTAAAGACTGCAAATACAATCATGACAATTCTCCTGTTTACTTTTTACCGCCACATCAGGATGCAGCTCAAGTTACTTTGGTGTAATTTGGAAGGAACTTTGTCTTAGTTGCCCCCTTCAGATCTTGAACTTTGTTTCAATTATCTGGAAGTACAATGTGTTTTTGAGGCATAAAGTTTAGTATCAGAAAATGGAGTGGCCTTGCAGAATCATATTCTCAACATCTGAATAAAACTGGCTCAGGGGACTGAAATATATCCAGAGAATTCTCCAATCTCTGATGTCCAGTAATCCCTGATACATGTTCTTGAGAAGATGGTCCCAGAAAATGTATTGTACATGTAAATAACTTGCTAGATTGAAGTTGAGTTCAAAAATTGCACTTTAGGTATAAGGACTCCATGGATTATTTAAGCACATGGATTACACCAAATGAAAAACATTGGTTTCCACAAACTTTTCCCAATGATAATCACACAGTTTCTGTGGAAATCACAACCATTATCCATCTCAACATACCACTTCCACCTCCATCACCAATGTGCCACTCAAACTACCCCAGAGTTTTAAAATTTCACTAGTCGGGTGTTTAGTTCACATTTAGATTCTACATGTATATTCAACCCTCTTACATGTATATAACATGATGTCACAAACATAGAAAAAATTCCATGAAGTTATTTTGTACTTTCAAAGTGTAACATAGAGGCACTTGAAGTATACTGCCATTGATGCAATTTTGCCTAGCTGTTTTTCACTCCCTCTTTGGGGTGATAGTACAAGATCTATACATATATGTACATATTTTTTTTTCATATATGACAATTTCTTTGACTATTCAGTCGTATCCCTTTCCCCTGATCTGAATCTTTGTTTACTGTTATTACAGCCATTTCCTTTTCATAATATTATTTGGCATAGGTTGAATGTTGGCTTGAAGTGCTAAATTTCTCATATATTTTTTTAGACTTTGATCACATGGTGCAGAAATTGTGTTGTCATCATATTTTAATTTCCAAAAAAATGATTTTATAAAATTAAAAAAAAATTTTTTGATAAATATCAATAGTGTGATGATTTGATTTGCTTTCTGAAAAAAAAGAAAGAGGAAAATCTGGAAGATTTTCGGTTGCACACTTGAATTTTTTTCTCTAGAGGCTTTGCTCTCAAAAATCAATAGTTGCATTGTTAAGCCAATATTTTCTTTCAGTATACTTTGATGTAAATGCACAAAATTTTTATGTACATAGCTCACAACTGAATATTTTGTTTTCATTATTCCTCCCTCTGGCAAATTTTTTTTTTCATGAAAAAAGAACATTTAAGGAATTTTTCTTTGTTAAATAAAATTTTGTTCTTGATACTGTTTTAACCCTCAACCTAATTTTTGTAATCTCACTGAACTTATCACAGACATGATGGCCTCCTCTGTCATTCAATTCCCCTACTTTGGCACCTTCAATTGATATTTCTATGGATTTGTCTTCATCAGGAAAAAAAGCAATTTCTTAAGATTTCTATCAGCACTTTTTGCATATTATTGTTGTATCGTTTAATTTTGTTTTGTACCTTCAAAAAGTACATCAGATGTGCGTCTGCAAAGGAGGGTCTTTATTTAAGTTGAAAATAATGATTTAAAGAAAGTAAGGATATTGAAAAATAAGACAAATAGAGAAAAGGGGTTTTGATGAACCCTAGAGGATATAATTTGATGGCTGGTTTTTAGCAAGGAAGTAGGGAACATGTTCTAACAGTTTTGCCAAGATTTTCGTTTAATAAGCACAAGTCACAGTGTATCTGTCTTTTATTGGCAGGCCATATTTTTAGCTTGATAGCATAAGAGTTCATGAACAATGTGCTGGTCATTGCGGTGTGCAAAGAAAATTGCTTTTCTAAGCTTGCCTCTGGGCAAGTTGAAACCATTTCTCACTTGTCCAGGACCCATGGTATGGGCCTTTTGTCATCTGCAAGCAGAAAAAGGAAAAAATGCTTCATGCCCTCCAGGCAAATGTTAAATCAAATCAAGTAGTGCAAGTGGAAAATTAACTAGCACTGGATTATCTATCAGGACTTTTTTGCATGTGGTCAAAGTTTTGGTATACATGTATATGTTTAAGCTACTAAAGGCAATTTATTTACATTTATTAATTTTTTTAGGACCCTTACCATGGAAAATTACTTGCAAATTTAGCTTTGCCCCATGCCCATGACTTATTCATTTGTTTATTTCACTTTGCTTTTTGGTCATTATTTACTTGTTTATTTATTTATTACATCCATTTTAAAATCACTGGTGATCCTTGTTAGGTTTTACAAAATGGTACCATGTACATTTGCAGTGTTAGGAGCAAACTGTACCTTAAATACATTTTTTTTTTTACTGTTGTGGAACAGTGAGATTTCCAGTTTTTTTAGGGCATTGCAATTGAATTTTTGAAAGATTGAAACACCTGTATAGCATTTTCCTTTGTTTCTTCAGGTGTCTGTTGCCTGCTGGTGCTGACTACAACCTCCTGGGTATAGCCAGAATACTAGAGATGCATGGTATTATACTCTATCCTGCCAAGGTAAGACATTCCTTTGAAATGCTGAATATTTTAGATCTGAATTGAATGGAAAGAAAATGAGGGGAAGGAAAAATAATACCAAGTTAACTTAATTATCAATAAAATTCCTTACCCCTTTGCAAGTGATGGTGATGTGCTACTTTTTTTTATTCCTTACAAGACAAAGATGATGTTGAACTTTTCCTTGCAGGCCCAGCCCATACATGTATGTGTGTCTGTATATTTCAGAACAGGACAAAAAAATTAATACATTTCCTAGTAAGTTCATGTGCACATGGTGTTTTCTCTACTTTGAAGTTCCTAATCCTCCTGTCAGTACCCCTCACCTTTCCCCCTTTTGTCACCAAAATTACAGGTGAAGTAAAATGTTTTTGTGGTTTTGTTGATCATCTGTGCCCACTGGTTATATTTCATTTCTGTTTCAGGGCAAAAATAAGAAAGTGTAGTTTTAAGAGAAGAAGATTTCTTTTGAAGCTCCATCCTGAAATATTTGTAAGTTGCAGATGTTGTGAAACATTAGAGCCTGGCTTTTATGAGTACAGCCATAGGGCTATTACTCAATTAAGTTTTGAAATTTATCTGGAATTGCTTTAGTTCTGCATTATTCCCTCAGTGATTAGTCTCAAAAATGCACGTCATCGTCTAAATCAGTTGGATGCAAATTAATTAAAACCAATCCTTACTTTACTAATTGTGGTTGCCTGTGCTTCATATTTGCCTGTTTTAACTTCTTGTTTTTTTTTCTTATTAGTGCTGATTACTTCAGTTTTGATTTTTTGACACAGTCTAAAACTACTCTGAACGAACCTATAGATATTTGAGTTAATTGTGTTCCTTTTTATCTTAGGGCCATAACTAGGATGTTGTGGCAAGTAGGAATGCATGTAAAAGCTTTTGGAAAATTGCAATAACTACACATGCTTTCTTCAGGTAAGTCTTTAATGTGTTGGTTTTTCTTGAATACCAGAGAAATGTGGATTACTATTCTTTTTTGTTTAATGTGCTCAGTTAAAGCTGCATGTACATGTATATCATTATTATAGAAATTTTGCACCACTGTTTAAACCAAAACATAAACCAACTCCAGTGTAATAGTTGGGTTCTCTGTGGCTCCTGGGGTACAGTGCACATATTTATCTCTCCATTATTTTCTGCCAATTTTGGAAAGTAAAATTCGTATTCATCATCTTTTTTTTTCATCCAAACTTGAATAACAATTAACAACTTGAATAAAGAGTTCTGTTGAGAAAATTGATAATTTTTGTCTCGTTTGCGTCATGCCTTTTTTAAGTTTTGTTATCAATAATTGTCCACAACCGGTTGATCAAATTAAGGTTACTAAATTATTATGTGATTGTTTTCAGGTGAAGGAATGCCGGCCGAAAGAAGGTAAGGAAATGGATCATTATGGAAAAATACATCATAAATGATGCCTTGCAAGGTTAGAATTGAAAAACCATTAAAAAAACACAAGAATCTAAGCAAAACGAGAGTGCTTAGGAATGTTGAAGATTTCCTTGGGTTATACGGACAAACTTAATCCTCTCCTCTTTAAATAGCCGTCATTGTGTCAATCAAAATCATTTTTGTGTTTATATTTGCAGCATTTACAGAAGCTTGGAGGAGGGATCAGTAGAAATGTTTTTGTAGTAAATATTGCCATAACCATAATAAAGACAGACTGCTGAATAGAAATGGCCTTTATTTGACTTTGCAAGTGATTAACATAATCGGACGACCGCGAAGACGTTAGGAGTTAAAAGGCGTACAATGTATTGTTTTTCCAATTTTGTTCCATATCCCACAGCTGTTTGCGTAATGAAGTATGGGGTAAAAAAGAAATCTTGCCGATACTGCGTTGCTATGCATTTTTTTTCTGTTTAATCCACTTTACTGAATTTGGATCTTAGCTTTTGTAGAGTAAAGTTGTTGTCTACATGTAGCTGTTTATAGCCGAAAAACAAAAAACTACAGCATTACCCACATGGACGTAAAGTCAATATTTTATATATCTTTCCTTTGTGTAAACATGGGGGAAACGTTTGTTTGCATGAAAGAAGACAGGGAATAAGCCAAGAAATATAACGACAATGCTATTGGAACTTGAAAAAAGGCATGGCACTTGTTGGGCCCATTCTGATTGAGCTATCTTTCTTTATCAACTGTTTTCTTTAAAAGCATCCCAATAACTTTATCATCGTAGAAATTAATGGTCCCTGAAGGCTAGAGAATGGTCTAGTTGGGCCTGGGAAGCTAACAGCATTTACCAAGAGCGCAGAAACAGGACAAACATTAAAAGAGCAGATAACGCGCATGAAAGAACTTTGCAAGCGCATGGAGAAAGAAAGAATGGAAGCGGAAAATAAACTTATGTATTCTCCTGTACTAGTTCCCCTGTATTTGAAAGTTAAAAAGGTATAAATAATCGGCAATAGAAACAGGTTTTTATCGCATTCCTACAATTTTAAGGAAGTAAGGGAGTGGAGCGCTTATTTGACATTTTGGCTCAGGGAGTGGGCGTTCATTTGGAGGATGGCTAATTCGAGCCTAGACGGAAATACTGTATTTCAGGAAATAAAACTAAGCACAAAAACACCATTTCTCTTCATGGATGACGCCAGGTTGACAATGACTTTTGTAGTGACAATAATGTATTTATTCTACAAAAAGGCAATTAAAGAGCAAGCTTATATCTCCAATACCACTAAAATATATTTTGAGATTTGTATGAGCTCATTTATGCTTCAAAAACTATATAATAAATGAAACGGATGCTAATAAACAAGATCAACCCAGTGTAAACGAAAAGCCTGATCTCAAACAGTATCTGTGGATTGTACTTGTGCTCTATGAATTATTGAGTGGGAATTTACCACCAGAAGTCTGAAACCCCTTAGCCTAGGATACCAGATTACAAGAGGAGCGAGTTTTTGAGAGCTCTTCAGTTTCCCAGCTTGCTATCGTAGCTAACCTTGAACTTGCAGCTCGGAGGAGGTTATTAAAGTACAGTAATACTCCGCTAACTCGACTCAGTTAACTTGAACCCCTTGGTAACTTGAACAAGATACGATTTCCCTTAATGAGGCATTTTGTTTCCTAAATTGATATAAAGTAATGGGGCATTAGGTTCAAACAAAATACTTTTATCTTCTAGGGCTAGGGGCATGAAGAAATGCGTAATGTGGCCTCCAGGTTGCAGTTTGTTAAAAGTATTTTAAAACTGTTCACTTTTGACCCCCAATTACATGTTGAAAAATGATCACGCAAAACATTTATGAGCCGAGACTTCAACCATAATTTTTCAAAATTCTCTTTGTAACTGACTCAAATGATCATAATAGCGCCAAATAATAAACTCGGCATCTATTGGTTTGTTTGATTTTGTAGATAATGGGGCGATTTTGATCCACTTGAATCATAATGGACAGCTATTGAGTTCAAATACAAGTGGAACACAATTACCTTATTATAGAACTAAAAACATCTTAAAATGGTTCTAAGGGCTAGACCGCTCTTTATTCAATGGGAGTTTTATATCTTACCATCAAAAGAAAAATATCTCAATTAAATAATGTTTAATTCATTACGTAACGAACTTACCTCAAAAGTAGCCTGTAAAGTGGATTCAAGTAGCATTTTAAGGGTCAGAGCTCCAGTTGAGTCAATACCCTGGCTGTACAAGCTTTTGTTTAGATCCATTTCTGAAGAAAACGAATGTCCTGACAAGTCTGACATGACCATGCAAATATACTCCAAGACAAGTTTGCCTTTTGCTTCTGGATTCCCTTCCATCTGAATCCTTTGCAGCAAAGAATCGGTTGTGTTTGTCTGGCCATCAGAAAAGCTCATTCCTCCAGTGATCAGTGAAAATCGGAGACTCTTTCGAATTCCAGTGTTACTTTTCATGAATCGAAACCAGTCAACACCAAATAGGGAGATTTGAGAACGACTCGGCTCCTGGGCTAAAACTTTGGCCATGAATTTGACACCTGAAAAGTAATTACAAAATGGACTGTGAAACGTTATTGTGATGAACAGCTTGACTGTGCACAAGTATCATGAATATGCAACCTGAATCCCGGAATACAAAGGAAGCAGAGAATGTTTTGTTTTAGAAAACTTCAAGTTGGCGAGATATATATTGACTGATTCAGCAGAAGTTGCCGTCTCATATTCAGGAACACCATTTACCACCAACTGATTTCTGTTGTTTGTGAGACTTCTGATTCATGGAGTAAACACTTTGCAATCAGCTCAACCATCCATTCAAAAATAAAGTAATAGAGAAACTGTTCTGTACAAAATAAAAATAAATCAATCGTAGCTTTTCAGTCACTGTGTCAAAGATAGCCTCTGAGCTGATGCTTTCAGCTCAATAGACTTTTCAAAGATAATGGAACTATTTCATGTGCACTCATTGCAGTTATTTTTGTTGCCTCTTTGAACTATTTAACATTCAGATGGAAGTATTTAGTAAGTGTTGACCTTAAAATTCTTTGTGAACTATACTTTACCATCTTTAGCGTTTATGAAGTCCAGTCCTGTTTCTGCCATGTGTTCAGCTAACGCCATATTACGTGCTAACACACCGGCCCCTCCTATAGGCCCCCATTTTATCGAAAGACCGAGTAGACCAAGCACCTGCCTCCGGTAATGGGCGAGAGAATCTTGGAAAGCATTGCAGACTGAATATGAGGATGATCCTATGTTTCCAACGCCTGATGCCATAGAAGAAATCATAACGAAGAAATCCAGATCCATTTTCAAGCTATTTGATGTAGTAAAAAGGAAACTAAAATATATCTCACAGGCATTATTTCGGCTACATTTAAACTGAAGACGCAAATTTGTGAAGCTCAGGTGTTGTGTGTGCTTTAGATAAATATACCATATAGTTTAGTCAATTTGGCGATGATTCGCGCGTTGTTCAAGCATTTTTCAGTTTTAAAGTAGAGTTAGTTGTGAAATATTTAGCCAAAGTTTTGTCAATTCAATTTAACTGGCACTATTGTAATCTATATAAAAAGTACACACTCCCGCAATCAAAGTCTTCTCATTTATTTGATGAGGGGGACATATATGTTAAGGAAAGCAAAACTTCATATCAATGGGTACAACGTTGGGAGTATTACTTGGTTTTACAATTTTGTAAACGTTTTCCAATATTTTAAGAACAATAAAAATTAAGATTTAGGAAAAACGTTTAAACTTCCTGACATAAGATTATTACAGTAACCTTGAATTTTAGGTCCCATGACGTTTATGAAGCCTTCAAATGTCCAATCTTGAATTAAGGTATCGTTAAGAACTATAGCCGATTGCACTATTCCTGCTACACTTGGAAGAGATTCAAGCTGCACTTTCAACGATCTCATGGGCTCTTGTTTTGAGATGTCAACCTAAAAGAGGCAAGGATAATGTAGTTTTTAATTCCTACACCTCTCACTGTGCTTCAAATCCAAAACAGTTTTTCAGACATCCTTCAGAAGCAACCTGGCTTCTCCTACTTGGGAAATTTCACTCTTGTCAGCTTGTCATTCTTTCAGCATGAAAAGTGTCTTCGTAGCATGCCTCGTACCAGATGAGAAATTTTTTATTATTTAAGGAAGCTCCAAAGGGTTTTTTCTCAATGTTGGCGCGAGTTTGTTTTGCTGTTTTCGCTTTTGTAGGTCACTAAAAGCGATCAAAAGGGCGATGAACAAGGTTCGGCTGTTCTGAGGTGAATATTGCTCACTTACAGAGGAGTTCCATAAGCTAGAGAACTAGATAACCGATTTAGATGAGATAATTAGGTATGTGACGTCATGGCAGTAAACGTTTTCCTGACTGTGTTGCACTTTGCATCCACTCACGTACACCAGCCTACTAAATTTTTGGTTTTGGAGTTATTAACTCAATTGATAAAACCAGATTATCTTGTTTTAAAATCTGTTTTTCGTCTCTCTCGCATGGTCCAGAGTATAACCCTCCTGATCAAAGGTGTCCCTGTATTCACTCAGGTGTGACGACAAAGTTGCAATGAGCTATCACTTATACCGTGTCTTACTCGCACAAGTCGAACAACATGGATAATAGAAAATAGAAGAATTGCCAATCCAGAAAATCATTCGTTTTTCATACTCTCTCATCGATGTTGGCCATGTTGATGTATGGAAGGTCAGGAGCGTGAGAAGTTTTCTTATAGCACTTCGATTTTGACTGTGGGAAGTTAGAAAGAAGAATATTGTATGTGAAGAATGGCTATATTGCTCTAGCTTTAACTACAATAAAATGTTGCGACTTTCATTTAAAAAATTTACTTCTATAATAAAACGATATCCGTTACGAATCTTCGATAAACGTTGATAGATAAAATGAAAGTCCTTAACAAACAAACAAACTCAATACTGCACTCCCTGAGCTTACGACTTCGTTGGCTACAATCTTGCTATTCGTGTAATGAGAATGCCCACAGGTGAATAATTTCAAACCCTCTTTACAATGTCTCACTCTTGAGCTCTGAAGAGGGTGTGAATATTATCATCTTGAACGATTCTCTTGTGGCGCCATTAGCATTGCTGAAAGGGTGTTGATTGTTTGTGTAAAGATTTTTTAAATATCAATGTTGTATCTTCTCGCAAAGAAGTTGTGGTGCTCCTTGATTTGTTCTTCTGTCGAAATTGTGTCTTCGTAAATTAATAGGTCACGCTTTCAAGCTCACGGTTGATGATGTTGAGCTGAGCATCTGAGAGGATGAAGATGTGGCATTCCCTGAACCCGATGATTTTCTATTAATTGCGAGCTGAACTCCTTCTTTCATATTCACCAATGTCAATCCACTTCCACAAAGATCATTGTTTTTCATGCTTCTGAGATCTATGAAAAGACCGAATCTGTCTCCGGCATAAATGTCTGTTGCATTCATTGCGCTGTTTTCCTTTCCAAACCTTCTGAAGAGCTCTTCCCACATA